TTCTCCCTTTTCTTTTTGAGCATTTTTTCGTTCGCTGTGTGTCTGATCCTTAGTTCCTCAGTCTTCATTCGATTCACCTAATTTTTTTTCAGTTATAAAATTAGTTGTTTTGTCGGTTTGTTTCCATACTCCTCCCGATCACAATTGTAATCCGTTTAGAATAACCATTTTACAATTATATTCTAATTCTGTGTAATTTTTTGTTTCTTTGCCTCTTGTAATCTATCTATATTCATACCTCCTAACTAACATGTCAAGTTGAAAATTTTGATTTCAATTTGTTTCCATGCTCATTTTGTTCACACATGTAATTCGTTCTATCCCTGCGTAATTTTTGTCTCTAAGCCTCTTGTAATTCATATCAAGTTGAAAATAATTATCACCTTTATTCGCCTTTAAAACTATTATTTCTCCAGTTATCAAATATTAATTTTTTGTAACTGTTTTCTAATCTTATGCAATCTTGTCTCTAAGCCCCTTGTAATCTATATTCGTACCTTCAAACTTTCATATCAAGTTGAAAATTATTATCACCTTCGTTACTATGTAGAATTAAACAAATAATAATTGTATCCATGTAAACTAATCTACATAAGTACGATTGTACAGCTGCTTTTGAGAATGGAATCGCCAAAAAGATCGTCATCTGAACTTCTTGTCCTCTTCTTTCAAGAAGTATTGACAAATCTTCAGCACATAATTCAAAATGCCACACAGTATACACGACAGTTGATGGATATATATTAGATGAATGGAATCAATCAGCGGGAAGCCTTGGACCTAGGTTTCGTGCCAGTTGGCACTCGTCAGCGAGGCGTATCTGCAGTCTTGAAGGAACTCATGTCACCTCTGAGATTTTCGAAACCGAGCCACCCATTGTTGCAGTCAGTGTCGTAACCACTAAACTATTCGGGCTCACGATTGACCTCAGATAGAACTATTTCAGATTCTTTTTATTGGATACTAGTCAGTGACTAGTATAGTGTGTGTCTAGTCCTTCGCTTGGTGCAAACTGAATTCTATCAGTCAGTCAAGTTTGCAATGTGGCCACCATACACCACTAGATGGCTTGCCGTCACAGTACACTTTGAATTGTTGATATTAGATGCAGATACGCCTGGCTGACTGGTGAATGCCAACTAGCACGAAACCTAGATTCACGGTTTCCTGCCGATTGCCTCCAACCATCTAATAACAACAACAATTCAAAGTGCACTGTGATGTCAAGCTACCTAGTAGTTGGATGGTAGCCACATTTCAAAATTGACTGATAGAATTCTACCTGAACTAATACACAAAGGACTAAAAACATTACAATAGTTACTAACTAGTGTCCAATCAATATATATATATATATATAATGCTCAGTGAATGTAGATAACAATATCGGCAGAGAAGCATATAAACACACTGTTGACAATTTCAAAACACACTGACGATATTATCAGTGAACAATGTTCATAATAATTGGAGAGACTTATTATTGTTATGAACAACAATAATGCATTGTTTGTGCTCATGTTGAATAACATCGAATCAATAAGATCAGTCAATAGACAGAGATTACAGATCAGAAGCATCCGCATATATATGAGTGATATAATAGACATCAAAGCACAACACTAAACTGATTGAATACATCAGATAAAATTAAGTGAAAAAATAATAATAATACAAAGCTCAAGTTGTTGTTTTAAGCGAACTCTGATGACCTCTGTCCTTGTTTTAATGAAGTATTCGGTAGCTCTAGACGCCGTTTGCCCAATTTATTTATTGCTGCTTCGATATAGATGACAGAAGACTGTTCAATGTGCTCGGCTTTGTGGTTTGCTTGGACGGGATGACTTAATTTCCAGCTGTTATTGATGATTTTCACCATATCATTATTTTTAGCGCTTAACTGGTGCAGGTGTGTTTTCCTGGGCACGAAAACCTATTAGCCAATATGCTTGCCTGTACAGATGCAAATGAATTGATAGATACAGGTAAAGAGATGGCTAACCTAAGTGCTTCATCTTTCAGTTGAAGAATCACAACAGGTCGTCGCGTGGAGAATATGACCTGCAGTATACCAGCATAAAAAGTTCCTTGATTCAATATACTTAACTTGTTGGTTATTACTTAAGTCGGTACAGTACATCACCTGGAGAAGCTTCTCGATTACAGATACAAAACAGTTTATTGCCAAATCTCTCTCGATCATTTGTTTCAAGACGAACTTTTCTGGACAATATATATATATATATATATATATAATATATATATATATATATTGAAGGTGGATTTAAAGTCCTATATGACACCATGACAGAGAATTTTCTCCCTTCACGTTTCTCAGTGGAACACATGGCTTCAAGCTAGTGACTTGAAGTTTCTGTAGCACTGTTCATTTTTACAGGATGGGGTTTCTAGCCTCATGCCCAACCTTTCCTCTATACCGGCATTATTTCTGGCTCAGCGCTGTAAAGGAGTGTGTCGGTGGCCGGGAATCAAACCCCGGACCATGTGCATGGTCGGCGAGCGTCCTAACCGCAGTGTGCCACCGACGCACATGACAGAGAATAGCGTATTATTGCCTACAGTTGCCTCTTTGAACTGTAATCGGTAAGGCTTCCAAAACACTCTTTAAGACCTGGACTTCGCACGTGGATGACTTACGCGAAAACGCAGGAGTTACCAGATGAGTTAGGGAGCGAAGACGAAACTTCAAATGAGTATAGAGGACAGAAGTGATGAAGACACCCAACATCAGCATCGTTTGAACTGCAGGCCACACAGCACAGATGAGAATGTCAAAACCGGCAAGGATTCATAAAGGAATGGTAGACACCTTCATCACTCTGAAGTCAGTTTGAAAATCCGCTTCTCCACTCCTCCTTAGCATAGAGAACAACAAAATTCGGATTCTGTTCAACATCAGTATTAAGTCAGTCAGTCAGTCACTGCTTGTATATGGGACAGAAACTTGGCACTAGAGCGTCACGCAATTCACTTCTAACGACTAGCTGAAGACCTTTTATCAACTGCTGTCCCCTTCATTGGCTCCATACTGAAGATCAAATGAGACCGAATCAATCAAGAAATATGCAGAAGAAAATAGAGGTGGACGGATCGAACTCCCTCACACACTGAGGAGACTGCAGAATGACATCGCACGTCAGTCAGGTCATCGCTCAAGTGAAACTAGAATGGGAAGTGGTGAGCTGGGCGTCGGGGAAGGAGATCATGTGAGTTGGAGGAAACAGAAGCCTACAGTCAATATTCATAAAGCTAGGCATCTGAAGACGACTGCAGATGGAATTTCAGTGTGCTGTTGCAGCCCTGCGTTCCAGTCGGAACCAAAGGGGATAATAATAACCTTAAAACACTGACATTGTTACTATCATTAATCCAATAATACTCGATACATCGCTGTAGAACCTGATAAGGAAGAAAAACTTATCGAAAAGAATGTTCTTTTTTCACTAAGTCCGGTCTTTTGATGGACCTCTTGAATCAAATCATGGAAAATAACAATCAGGATATTAGAGAGGAAAGAATAAGAAGTTCAACGAAGATATTGATCCTTCAGGCGATTTTATTCTCAAAAGCTGCACAACCGCATTTATATACATAAGTTTACAAACAATTATTCCTGTTCAATTCTACACAACGACGGAGATTAAAGATGGCTCCAAACACTGGTTCAATCTGAAGGGACTTCATAATTGAACACCTCATTAACACACCTGTCACACAACACCTCAAATAACTCATCCATCATTCGGAGTCATTTACAAAGTAAACAAAACAAAGGCAGTGTGTTCCTGACTCTTCCCTGTACTGCAGAGGCCCTCAGACCCTATGCATTGAAAAGCCGGAGCTGAGTGTTCAAAAGAAACTAGTCCGGTCTCTACATCCATTCACTTTACTTTTTCATTTTAATTAAATCCTGATGAGTATGTGACAAATTCGTCATCAAATTAACTTTCAGGGCATGAAGAAGTACTGTCACTTTGTTTCAATTTTTATGTCTCATTAAACATCTCAGATTTTTGGCGAGTGATTCCCGGTTTGAAAATTTGTACGATCAATTGAGTCCTCTAGTTCCTAATTCGACAAAAGACCAAAGTTGGATCAAAGCTAAATTTGCAAATATAGCACATCAATTCCGTAGTTCAAGTCCGAAACAAAAAAGTATTTTAACATCAACTCATTTTAGAGCCCTAAAGGAATTACGTAATAGTTCCGATTTAGTTATTTTGAAACCTGACAAAGGATCTGGTGTAGTTGTAATGAATAGAAGCGATTACAAAACAAAAGTGTTATCCATCCTCCCTAATGAGAAAAGCAAATTCATAGCCAATGTTCCTTCTGATGATATCAGGAAATTGGTAGGAAAAGTAACTTCTCACTCAGTAAAACTTCGTGGCATGGACGTTGGCGATAAACAGGGGGTTTAATTCCTAGAAACCCATGGGATCTGACTTTTAAACCTCTATGGGCTACCCAAGATGCATAAGGTTGATAATCCATTACGTCCAATTCTATCAATGTGTCACTCTCCTACACGTACATTGGCAAAATTCTTTACTGACATTTTATGTAAGTTCTCCGTGAAAGAAACATTTGAACTTGTTCACTGTCTTGTAGACATGCATATAAAAGATTTGAAAATGTATTCTTTTGATGTTAATTCCTTGTTTACTAATGTACCTAATATACCATTGATTAACACCACATATCTTCTAGCTTTTTTTCAGTCCCTTTTCCCTTAACTTATTTGAAAGATTTATTACTATTATGTACTCACAATATCCATTTCACATTTGAAGGTGAACACTTCCGACAAGTGGATTGCAGATTTTTATGTCGATTTTTATGTTGAAAACTTGCCCCTGATTTAATTGCTAAAGCGCCTCTCTATAGAAGACATGCAGATGACATTATTCAGACATGCGGCTGAAGGCCTGTTATGCTCTATCCGTTCGGTCGGGCGTAAGGGGATAACAAAAATGAAAATTATTATAATTAACATTATTATTATTATTTTTATCATTACTGAATCAATAACAATTGCAGGTAACATACTACAAAATACATAAAGGCTAAACAGAGATAAACAAGATGTGTATGTATGTAATTGAACAACTAGAAATTAGAAGAAACATCACCGGAAAACAATCGGAAGAGATAAAACTCGAAAAGATGGAAGCCTAAAGGAACTAAACCAAGTAAGTGTACCCACCTACCCACAGACACAATGAACAGTGACAATAACGTCACCAACCAAGAACAGCAGGAAGAACACGCAAACAAGATTACCCAACTACTCCTTCAATAATGCGGAGGGTATGGGAGGAAGCGCACTACAAACTGTCACCAGTGGTAGTAGTTGTTGTAGATCTCCAGTTGAAGAAACAGTCGTCACTATGACCAATCACCATCAGATGACGGCGGCGGCGATGTTTGTAGGTAAGTGGAAAGGGGAATTCAATGAAAATCATACAACGAAAGAAAGGCTAGTTAGAAAAAATAAAATTTACCCTGATGTTCTACAGACAGAATATATACGTAACTTATTATAACAAAAGAACAAATAAACGAGAGAAAAAATCCCAAAATATATTAAAGGAAATTTTAAAAAATTAAACAAAAAGAGAAAATGAGAGAATATGCCTATTAATATTATTCATATTATTAGTGGTAGTATGGAGTATACTAAATACAGCTGTATAATTGTTACCAAGAGGAGAAGACATGAACACTCACGGAAACACTCGAGGCCAATTTCACTGACGAAAAATATATGCATATATAAATATATAATCTACATAATTTAATTGTACAGCCACTGAGAAAGCAGCAAAAATCAAATTTTAAAAAAAAACAAATCAAGAAGGTAAATGAATTCATTTTTACCGCATCTGCATTTTTTTTCTCCCTTTGTGACGATTAGTTTGCTGGTTGATTGGACGTTTTTATTGGTCAAATAGGAGAGGGATGAGAAGGAAAGCAGACTGCGTGGGCGGGAATCATGGAAATAGAGAATAACGAGAAAAGAAATGAAAAACTGGGCGCAGGGGGTAGATGATTAAACTATCAGACATTAAAATGTTAAATAAGTAAAACAAAAAGTACAACAAGCACAAGATAAGATAAGCACAGAGAGAGGGGGGGGCTCAGAAAGTACAAGAAGGGGGTGAGGAAGAATGGAGCACAAAGAAAGGAATCGAAAACAAAAAGAACACACAAAGGCTTCAGTGTGCGCTTCTTTTTGTTCCAGGTTCTCATTGCCAGCGAAGACAGTGACAGCATGTGAGGTATCCATCTATCGATCGATTATGAGCGATTCAGTCGATTTTTTGAGGTGTTTAAAAGCTCTGTAGTATTGTTCACATTATTCTCAATATCAGAATCTATAATTTCCCATTTTGTGTCATCGTTTGGTGGTGCTGTAGGGAACAACAATTCGGAGTTCTTACCGACGTTCGGATCTCCGCAGTGACCATTGATGACTAATCCATTGCCAAGATCACCACCTTCGATATCATCTTCGACAGTGATGCACAGCTTACTACCCTTATTATTATCATTAACATTATTATTATTGATGTTATTACGGTAGGTATTCGTATTCAAGCCCAAATACCTGAGTGGATACAGCCGACGAACAGGGAATTCCAAAAGAAGAATGAAACCGGCAGACAGGAGGATGACACCACAGACATACAATGACCAAACATAGGAACCAGAGAAATCAGCGATAACACCTAAATGAGGAACCAAATAAAATTTTTTTTTAAAAACATATAAATACATACATAAATATTATTTTACGTAAGCGTAGAACATGGGGACTGTGTGTATTAACCCTTAACTGTGACAGATAATCTCACCATCAAATATATATATTGATCCAAAGGGGATAAACACTGACTATTTGAAGGAGCTCCTACTGAGATGCACTCTAAATGTCCACTTCTCTTTCAATAATGAAATACATCAACGAAAAGATGGTATAGCTATGGGCTGCCTATTGGGCTCGTTGGTAGCAGATTTCCTCATGTCAAAACTAGAAAACACATACCTAAATAAAATAACTGACGATAGCTTTGGGTTTTTTGCAAGTCCTGAACACTATGGAAGAGGAACTGAAGAATCCTCCTTGAAAATGGCTACACCGAACTCCACTTTATAAAATCCATGAAGCTAAAAACAACAAAAACCACCGACACTTTCTGCTACCTAAAAACGTCTCTACTTGAATCTACAATTCAATGGACACTCATCACCAGAAATACTTAGAAACTGCCTGCCTAGACCACTGAAGGAAGCTTTCTTCACGGCTGAACTTCGACTAACTGTCTGTAAAAAATCAATGAGATTCGCGTGTGTAAAAGACAAGCTTCCACTGTTGGCCTCATCAATGTGCATTTATAAAATCACCTACTCGTGTGGAGCTACGTTTGTCGGCCGTACTCAGCATTTATTATCCAAACGTATCATTGAACACTCATCCACATGGTTTTTAAAGGAGGTATAAGAGCTACACCGCCCACCAGCACCCCAACTCTATCCTGGGACACCTGATAGAATCTCGACTCAAAAAGGAACCTCGAAGTTATCTGCAGAATGCATGGTAATCTTGATAAAAGAGTGCTACAAATCAAAATTCTTCAGACCGAAGAAGCAAAGGCGATTCACATCCCATATCCTGAAATCTACATACAGAGGAAGAAGATTGTTCACTACGTCGGTGGCACAGTGGTTAGGACGTTCGCTGACCATGCACATGGCCCCGGCTTCTATCCCCCAGCCAACGCATACCTGATATCAATGGTGGGTCTGTTAAATTCGGGCTACCAATTTCACATGCTGAAAATTTCATATTTCAGAATTTCATCATGAGCTGACATTAGTTAGAGAACCACTGGAAAACCTTGGAGTACTGGACAGCTGTTTCCCCCCCCCATCCTAGCTTGGGACTCTTCAGCAGTACGCAGCCACCACGAGAGTTCGAACCCAGGACCTTCTTGCTACAAGGCGAGCTCGTATACCATTAAGCCACCGGGACCCGATCCAATGGCCAGCCCATGAATTCTAACTTCTGTCAATCCATGACATAGCGCGACCCCTAGCCAATGTCCGGCGAGTATTTGTCCTCATACCCGACCGGCTGCACCCTACTGGTCACGACTTCTCACTAGAACCCCAGGTAACTACCTACCTGAATAGGGCAAGTCGCTAGTGAGCATATCATTATTATTCAAGTGCTGGTTTGTAAGGATCCCGTGGGTGCATACTGATGAAGAGTCCCGAACTAGGACGAAACAGCTGCCCAGTACTTCCAGATTTTCCAATGGTTCTCTAACTAATGTCAGCTCATGATGAAGTCCTGAAACCAGTCAAATCCCTACAAATCAACACTTGAATTCCATATTTGTACCGAAATATACTGAATGGAATCAAACTATAATAAAATTAAAATAAATAAATAAAAATAAAATAAATCTACGATGGACCTGGTTTGTTTTAACACTAGATATACTTTTTCCCTTCACTTTTCTCAGTGGAACACATGGCTTCAAGCTAGTGACTTGAAGTTTCTGTAGCACTGTTCATTTTTACAGGATGGGGTTTCTAGCCTCATGCCCAACCTTTCCTCTTTACCGGCATTATTTCTGGCTCAGCGCTGTAAAGGAGTGCGTCGGTGGCCGGGGATCGAACCCCGGACCATGTGCATGGTCGGCAAGCGTCCTAACCGCAGTGTGCCACCGACGCACTGGATACATAATCTTTGTATGTTTGTTTCTTAACGGTATTATTTTCTTCCTTCATCCCCTTCTTCTATTAAATTTCTACGCCTCCATTACCACTGGTACTAACTCGATTATCGTTCCATTTCAGTTGAACTTCCCTACTCAACCCTGCCAACGAATTATATTACGTCACTCATTTTGATTATTTTATTGTAGTTTCTAACCGATTAACGCAATTGGTTATCTAAAATTTACACTTCCAATGACACATGCACAATCGGAAATATCCCTACTGTTGCTAAGAAAGTTTACTACATAAATAACAACGAATAATTACTATTATTACTGAATAACGAGTCAGAGTGATCCAGAAATTGATTTTAGTGATCAGAAAATGGAGAAGTGAGTAAATAATTTCACAAGGTGAAAAAGACCGATCCTTGTTTTCATGAGAAACAAAACAAGTAGTTGGAGGGGAAAAAACTCAAAAACAAAACAAAAACAACAAGAATACTCTCGACTAGTCGACCGGGACTTACCCATAAGAAATTGTCCTGGAGAGATGACTAATCCCAGAATGACCATTGTAATGGCGAGCGAACGTGCCAACTGGCCAGAACCAACCCAATCTGTCAGTACAACAACCATTTGTGTCATAGCTGTACCACTGCATATCCCGTGGATAGTGAAACAAAGGTAGTACAGCATTTTAATTGTCACCGAATCATCATTCTGTGGACTATTTGCCTGGAAAATAACCCAAAAAATAAGTAAATTATAAATTATTCATTTCAAAAGTTGTCTTTTTTTATTTTTGGTAATATTTCAAGCAAAATTATTGCCCGTGATCACAACCCACCCTAAAGAAGACACCACCACCAGCCAAGTATGTCCACAACCAGTCCGGTTGTTGTTGTTGTTGGACTCTCTAGTATTCGTCCTATTTGATTCACTCACTTTTATGAAGAGTGAAGTAACTGCCACGTCAAAGAGGGCGAGGGACAGGAAGAAATGCATGAGAAGAATGAAGTATAACAAACTCATTACTGAACAAAGAATACTCTTTTCAATAACGCCTTCTTCATCAGGTTCTACAGTTAAATATATCCATCCAAAATAATGAAAGAATTAGACTTATTAACAACATCGAACCGATCAATAGTATGAATAGTCAGTTCAGTAGCATCTGTAAGTGTGATAATATGCATCAACACATAACACTACACTGGTTGAATATCAGCTAAATTAGGAGAAATAATACTACAGAATTCACGACTTTATAAACTCCATAGAAGGCCAGGGCAGTAATATAGTGGCTGGCTCGACCTGTTTATTCTGTAAACACGCGCAGAGAACCGGTTGTTGTTTTAGGCAAGTCACAATAATTCCTGTGCTGTTTGGTAGAGTATTCGGTGGTACCTGGATGCTTTTGGCAATTACTTTGGTACCACCGACAGATTATGATAATGGGAAGGATTTTCCATCGCTATTTAGCTTTGTGACAGGTCAGTTTGGACCAGGTAGTCGTCCAAAATCCAACTGCTGTTGATCGTTTCCAGTGCACCTTTATCCACACTCGAAGGTGTGGTGTCCAAAAGAGAGCAGGAAAAATTAAGTTCTTAGTACGCATCGGCCAATATAACTTGCTCATCACAGGCGTAGTTGATGAATAAATTGCAGAAAATACAAAAAAAAATTTTTTTGCCTACATACACACTTCAACACTATGGCGTGCAGTGACCCAAATCTTTATCAACCTCATTCAAAAGCTGACGATATAAAACAATAACAGGTGTCAGGTGAACCTAGCGAAAAACTCAGTGAAGCCTTTAAAGAGCATACAGAAGTACGACAAGACCATCTGCCTATTATCACCGATGATATTCCGAATTGTGGTGAACTGGATTATGCGGCACATCGCGTATGGGGACCGAGAAGACAAGAATACACTCAACCAATAAGATTACTCTAGAAGATGTGGATTTCGTTCGTGAAAGATTCATGTCTAATTGTCACACAAACTCGAAGAATTATAGAAGAAAACCGACAAACTGACCGAAAAGGCTGACAGTGAAGACAAGACTCCAGGTGAACATACAGAAGATGGAGGCGATGTGGATAACTTGCTAATCAAAAGTAATAAGAAAAACCAGCACTGATTACCATCAATGGGGGGAATTCGAAACAGGGCACTTCCTCCACTTGTCCGGCTGAGAAGGACGCATCGTTTCAACCACAGCCAGCGGAGCGGAAGAAAATGTCAAAGCTAGCCAGCTTCGGAAAGGTAAGACAGACCTTTATCACTCCGAAATCGGTCTGGAAATCTTCTCCAATCCGCCACAGTAGAAAGAACACGATTCCGATTTTGTTCAGAAAAAATGTTAAATCAGCAAGTTCTTCCATATAGATAAGAAACCTGCACTAAGTGTCACAAGCAGCATTTCCAACACCCAGCGGAAAACTTCTGTAAACAGCTGCTCCCTCCGCTGACTCCAAATTGAAGATCAGATGGCCGACTGACAATAAAGAATAAGCAACAAACAACCATAGGAACAAACTAACAAAGAAACTACCGTTCAGCGAATATGTAGGATAAAATAGAGATGGATCACGTACACACTGAGAAGACCATGAAGTGACATCGCACACCAGTCAGGCCATTCCTCGAGGGGAACCCAAATGGGAGACGACGAGTGAGGCTTCCTAGAGTGGTATGAAGGAGATCGTTGAGCTAGCCAGCCAGCTAAAGAAGACAGCAGAAGACAGAAAGAAGTGGAGATGTGCCCCGGTTGGAGCCTTATGTTCTACTCGGAACCCAAGGCAATTATAATATAACAGCAATAATAATAATATACACAATTTACACTTACATGATATTTTCCCGACAAGAGATGTAGCTGTGAAAATGCGAAAGCATTCAACCCTTCAACCAACCAAGTAACACCCAACAATAATCCCCGTCGGCCAATACAAATCGTTCTATCAGTTAGCCAACCCACACCAAGACGTGTGATGAGATCTCCGACACCAGACAGCGCAATAGCCCGATTGATCTAATGAACATAAATATATTGTGGAGGAGAAACATTAAAAAGAACACAAGAAAATAAGAAAAAGACGTACACATAGAGGGAACTTTTCCTTTTCGCAACGACTCATCTTCATAAACTGCTGTACACTCATCGCCAAAAGTCGCAACTGTTCCTGGGAAAACTCTCACTCTCTATGAAACTGGAATTTAAAGGTGACATCGAAGCAGAAATTCTTAGAAATCGTCTTTCTACTTAATGTTCGAAGAAGCCAATTCATGTAGCCGCTTTAGTGCGCACCACATTCTCGATCAGATAGTTAATCCAGTCTAACACTAAGGATAGGATACCGCCACTCTTGACCACCTCAATGTGCATTTATCAGTTTACTTCTTCGTGTGGACCAAAGTATATCGACCGTATGCAACGTCAAGCCCACAAACGTGTTCTGGAACTCTGTGCAACCTGACTAGCCGACCAGAAGAGAAAAGAAGAATACCAAAAGCCCTATCCTCGAACACCTTGTCAACTCTGGACATCGAACACCCCAACCTGCATCACTATTCCCCAGTGTTACACAGAGTCCCTCACATGAAAAGAATTCGAATAAGCCATCTATAGGAACCTGTATCACACGACGCCCTGGCTATTCGGAATCGGGAAACGGACTTCGGCGTTCAAAAGCACTACATACATTCACTCTCCTTACCATGACCATAGTAACACAATTGTATGGATTAGTCATTTTATCACGCCTAATACGTTAACCCAACTTCTGCACCCTACTTTTCTTATTTACAATTGGTCATCGCCTTCTAGATTGCACCTCACAACTTATGTAATGCTGCTGCACATCTGTGCAAAGCACTACTCTGAAACCAATCAGTCAGACTGACTGGTGTCTTACAAATTACTTATTAAATCAAATAATCGATATCCCCTCATGATAAGACTCGCTGTCAGGAGCACATGTGGAAGACTGTGTGTAGGAAGCCAGAAGAGAGAATAAACGATCCTTTGAATCTTAAAAGTAAGTGCTCCATTTTGTCCCGTTTCCTGTCTACAGTCCCCTATAGCCAACCCTACGATTGCCTTTGCATGTCAACCAGGGACACACCAAACCAACTAGTCGCTTACCTCCCATTGGGATTTCACCCACCCAGTGGTACATATACTGTCGCTGAAGAGTCAATTGAGTCTCTAAATTCTCTTATCCGTTTGTCATCAATCAATCTTGAAATAAATAACAACAATAATACCAGTTTGGCTTTTCTCTCAAATTTCCTCCTATAGATGAATTTTTTTCTTAATTTACAGCTTGATTCCACACTGTATTTTGGAACAAGTATGGAATTTTCAGCATGGATATCGGTAGCCCAAATTTCGCAGGCCGACCATAGATATCAGGTGTGCGCCGGCGTGGGCTCGAACCCCGGACCATATGCATGGTCGGCGAGAGTCCTAACCACTGTGCCAAAATAGAACAAGTGAGTACACACAAATCAACCCACACGCAAACACACACACACACAGTTTGGTTAGACGCAGACAATGCCAACTAGAACACCAAAAACAGTAATAATGAAGCACACAAACGAAGAAAACAGAGTAAATGCCGGCGGTGCACAAAAGGAATGTCAGACTCTCATTAGTGAGAAACAAGAAAGAATAAAAGAATCTTCGCCTACTTTTTCTGGTCATCAGACAAACCGTACGCACACCCACACACACAAGCATGACAAACCAAGTAGACATAACACTGCTTGACATACACACATACCACTAGAGCTATAAGCTTATACACAATAAGTGCAGAAACAAGACAAATAGCAGTATTAATGTAGCGTTTGCTACTGATAAGATTTACTAGTAATATATATATTTACTAAGAGATGTTCATCAGCACACAAAAATAATAAATAGCAGAGAGATAGATGCATCTGACATCTAGGAGAGAGGAAATGAACCAACCAATGTATTGTGACAAAACATGAGAGACACGAAAAGAAGACAAACAAAAACACAATATGGGAGCAGAAGTAGCACAACACGGAATATGTGTGCAAATGATGATTTGGACATAAGGTGTACATAATTTCCCTACATAATAGGGATATCGAATTCCAAATCAACGTCCCGTTACCAAGTCTCTTGTCTTCTAACGTCACAGTTGGTGTCGCTGCCACCAGATAATGAATATTCCACTGCCGGCTGCTTTCGAGGAAGGAGACATTAAGAGCTTCTTGCGGGATTTCCATGAAGTCGCTGAGTTGGTGGGCGAAGGCAATTGTGCTGGTGACATCGGGAAATGGCGGCCTACGATAGTGTGCAAGGGCCAGGCGAGGAGGAGACCTGGAAGGTACTGCTTTGAGTGATTAGTGGCGAAGTTCAACAGTCGAACGGACAAGCGCCTGGCGATACAGAAGTTCCGTGCGACAAAGATGGCACCGTTAGTATTGGCGCTGAAACTAACGAATCCACTAAGTCTCGCACTCCCCATATTGGGTGTAGATTCAGAATTGCAGTTATTGACTTCCCATTTCACTGAAAATGTTCCAGACGACATATCCCAGCAACTACATCTGGTTAATGCTGGACAACCTAAGGAGATTGGTGAGCTAGCAAAGGTGACCAGACAGCTGTAGAACACAATGATAGCTGCAAAAAAGCCACCAAAACTGAACAAATGCGAACAGACAACTGTAGATTTTCAGCGCGAAGTAGCGGTGCTACGAATAAGCGCCAGGAAAGATGAACGCTTTGAATGTGGCAAAGCAGGAAACTGGAGGAGGTAATGCCCATTAAAAACAAGAAGGAAAAATTTCAGACGGTTTAATCTTCTCTTTTTTCTCTCCTATCACAGTAGAAGTAGTTAAGTTTATCGAGACGGGGGCCATGCATTCTAGGTTGAGAGTCAATGGCCGAGAAGTAGTGTGCTTTAATAGATACATGGGCGACAGCCTCACTCATAGATAATAATGGATTTCACACACCTCGACCGTGTTCATTGACAGTTTAAACAGTAGGTGGACACCTACTACACATGTCAAACTGTAATGTTCTTGTTGGCAATTACAAACAAACAATGTATATGACAATGCCTTTTCGTTTCCGTATTGTTACACAAGACAATAGAAACAGATAAATCAGCGCATTGACAGACGCGCAGACAAGTATGGAGACAAACTGATACACAGAGAGAGAGTGTGTGTGTGCGTTTGCATGATCATAAGCAACACACAAGATCTTGGTTCACATTCTGTCTCTCTTTTCGCATTCTTCTGCTTTGTGTGTCCACGTTTGACACTCTCCTTGTGTAAATACTAACTACTGTCTGCTATTACTGATACTGGTACAGAGTGATGTAACATTAAATCGCTAAACTATGTCACTCCACCCTCTTCACATCTATCTAGCCTCTGCTATTATATATATATATATATATATATATATATATATATATAAGACTAGTACCCTGCCCACTCACCTCCAACAACAAATACGAAAAAACGGTGAAGTCATCTGAAAGTTCAGACTAAAATTTTATTTCATTTTTATTTTATTTTTGACAGTTATCAGGATAATAAGAGTAGAGAAAGAGAATGACAAATAGACGGAAGAATATAATGTGAAGAAAGCAAGCATCTTCGCATAAAACTATGCACTACTTAGTAATTGGGATGAGTGGTTGTACACTGTCATTGAAAACAACCGGTAGTGCTAGCTAACCAGCTAGCCAAACAAATAAAGTTGATCTAAACACCACGGAACAACCGTTTCGCCTGTCTGATGCTGAACTCATCAGCGGTGTACCCGCTTTGACTAAGTTGTTTAAGGAGAGGCCGAATCATTAGTTGGAACCACATCCCTGATTTCTGGCTACCTACTTCGTCGAACAGCTTCAATTCATCTTGTTTTATGAAGTTTATATTCCCCTTTACTTACGCTGACTTCACACATCTACTCCCATAGGCTTTCAATTTTCTAATTTTTTCAACCACACGCTCTTCTTCACACAATCAGCCTCCAACACAGACACACACAACTTATCGTTTCGCGTTCGAGATCTTTGCAATTCAACTGATTTTATTCAATAGGGAACAAGCGAAAGCAGCCATCGGTGAAAATCTGAAGTCTGTTCAAAAGTACTGACTAGATATCCGTGTTGAACATCCGAATCTTTTTCTTTATGCTGAGTGTGTGTAGTAGATGTCGCGGCCTTGGCTTTCGCATTTTTCATCTCAGTATAGCGCCGCCTGTAGTCAAAACGATACTACCCAAAAAAAAGTAAGTGAAACAGGTAACATCCTACAAATTTCTCCTGCTGATACGGATTATTACTCGTTACTGCCGTCAGTAATTTGATACTTTTATCACCTCTGTTCATCTTCTTTATATTTAGTTGAAGTGTCCTGTCTTCATTGCTATCTCCTCTTCTATCAACTTGGTGTTGGGTTTTCACCTGTATAGATCTCCTTTGAGTTTGTGTACCATGAAGCATACAGTAAATCCAAATATTTTACAGTCTTCTTGTCGGTTCGGCGGATTCAATGTTCTCGTTCATCCCATGTACGAGCTGCCGAATGATCCAGTCCACTACACACAGCAACATTATCGGTGACGAAAGCCAGACTTGTCGCTTCTAAGATTCGAAGATGGCTCACCCAACCAGTGCAGTCAGTGTTACACAGTCAGAGACATGACCTTCCACCATCACTGAGCTATTCATTCACAGGCTCCTCCTCTCGATCATACATTTTTTTTCATTAGTTCCTTACAAGATCACAAAAACTAAACACTTGACGTATCGATTTTCTTTGCAATTTACAGTAGAAAACATGAATCATGGTTCATGGGATCTTCTTGGTTCGCATTCATGTTTCCCTTTTTCTTCTTTGCGTTCATGTGCGTGTGTGTGTTTCTCTCTCAGTAAACGCATCAACTTACTACCAATCTACTCATAATGCTAGTAGTATGATGTAATATTCACATTTTTCGTGAATCTCATCTCTGTCAATGTTGTAAACTATTTGACCTCCACTCATACAAGTAGACAAACTTTAACAAAAGACAATAAAAAGTCTTATATTGATTTATGTAGACTCAGACACTCTATACACGTGTAATCCTCTAAAAAGCCAACCACCCTTATCTAGCCTACCTAGACAAACATACCAACAAACGAACAAAGAAACAAAAAAACAACACGAAGAAAAGCCATTTCAAAGTTCAACTGCGACTGAAATATTTTGTTTTATGATAGTTTTCAAAGTACTAAGAGATTACAGACAGAAAAGGTGAATGAAGATATGTGAATGTGAGATCATATATATATATATATATATACCTCAAGCAGAGTGTAAGATATACTCTGTTCCAACCAACAGTGTGGGGCTAAACAAGGTTTCCCAATTTCTTCCCTTCTCTTTTAACTTTGAATTTATGACATTCTGGTGGAACCAGCTCTGAAGCAAGTGCGTGGTGGTGGTGTTTATCTTCTTCCTTTAAGAAAGACTTTTCGTCCTCAAATATGAAAACAATATATATATTCTTACTATTGTGCGATAGACAGAATGCAGATAGAATGCCCAAGTATGACTTAATCAGTTGATGACCACGGCCTATAGGTATGGTATGTACTTTGGGCCTTGTAAGTGTAAAATACTGTTACAAGATTGTCAGGAGCCTGTGCCTAACTTCACGCTTGCGGGTGGTGGAGATGTGTAGTGACTTAGCTTATTCAGTCATCGCTGTCCCCATAGATCTGTTGCTTGCGTTTCATGACATCATCATCGTGAGTGATTCAAAGATCAAGCAGCGTGTTTTGCACACAGTGGACATCGCGACTCAGTCATTGAGTGCCGTTATGATCTGGAAGAACCGGGGCTTTGCTGCCTTGGTGGACATGTGCTACGAAGTCATCACGTGTCATCATGGGATGTGAAGGATATTTGTGTTAGGTTAGCGTCATCGGTTAGTGCGTCACAATTCCCTCACTGGTTGGGGTCCGAGGGAGATGGCTCGAATCGGTGGCTGACTTGAAATGTTAGTTGTCGGATACGGCCAAGAATCACAGTCATCAATGGCGAACGTGCTGCTGCAATTTCCTTCTTTCTTCCCTTTCCAACAACAATTTGACAAATGGTCTTGTTTGGTCTTGTTAAATATGGCGGCTGATGGCTATTGTGTGGCGCATCTTCTTGGTGCCTACACTGTACCACTTTCAATGCAGGGCAGAGAGAACTGTTTCACCTCAGCAGTACACACATATATCCTTTGACCAAGAGCCAACCCCAGCTGAAGATCACGCCTAGCACACCAGACATAACAAGTGAGATACAAGCATTTAATAATAATGGTACTAACAATATTACTGAAAATTAACTTACTGTTGTAGAACTTAGTACTAATTCCGTTCCAAACAGAGGCGCGATGAACGATACACTCACATCGCCAACATCTCCAAACGCTTTAGCCACTATATATATAATCAATAGAGCACGTGTTAGCCGTTTCGCATTACGAGATTTTGACGATACTACAGAAGAAGAGCCTTTTGACACTGTGGATGTCGATAAAACATCCACTGACGAATCAATATTCTTCCCTGAATGAATAACATCTCTGATGAAAAAAGGGAAGAGGAAAAGAAAGAGATTGATTATAGATTGATGTCAGTTAGAGAACCAATGAAAGGGAAAAATAAATGCGAGAAGTGTATTCGAGAGATGTTTCATCCTTGGTTGGGACTCTGCATCAGTAACGCATCAATCATTGCCCCATCATACTGAGGAGGTGGGGGTCATCGAACTAGCCAGGAAGTTCAGGTTACACAAGCTTGACCATTGACCATTGACCATTCAGTTTACTCGGACGGAATTCATTGATGACGCAGACTAGCAATAGCGCTAAAAATTGTGAATTGAATAATCAAACTATCGTCGCGTAATCTGAAGGCTTTGATCCGTGTTTAATGGAATCAGGAGTGTGTGTGTGCACGCATAACTGGTGTCTGTGAAACAATAAGTGCCGACTGGGCTCATGTTTCAGCAAGACCGTCTTCACTAACTCACTGGAGACGGAAATAGGAAGACAGGGAGAGAGAGAGAGAGAGAGGGAGCGTGAGCACGTACATCAAACAAAGGGCTAGACACACATGACGCTAGTTACTATGCTAGTGTCCAATCAGCTAAGTGGCGAACGGAAAACCCTGGTTCCTTCCACTGGATAGATAGTCAACCATCTACCAAATTAACAAAACATACTCGAATAACATATTGCTTAATTCGAATGCTCCACACAAACACACACACAGCGACAAATAGCATGATCAAAATAGCACAACACCACGCACCAAAATGGAACAGAGAGATTACTGAATTTTAAAAAAAGCGATTTTCACTGAGCCGTTTCTACTAAAACTCATACACGAATAAATCAATTACATCGTAAGAGGTGATTTTTTTCCCAGAGAAAGAAACTGAGACAGATTGGTTAAAGTCAAAAAAACGGTAAAACAATTTTCATCATGAGGTAAATTGTTACTTCACACATACGCACAAATTGAACGCCCAAACAGACGCATCCACATGCACACCAACGAACACTCCACTTAACTTGAGATACAAATTTAGAAGGCACTGAAGTCTTTAGATGATAATCATGTTTGTATCATATTTCGTTTTAATTATATTCTTAGTATATTCACAGATATGTAAGCAGGTATTTTGGCATTATATAATGTGATAACATAATATCTAAGAAGTAGGGTAGCCTAACTAGCTAACTACCCAGATGTCCACATCATGGGAGTTGATTTTCTCGTCTATGTGAAACACAATTTGGAGTATTAGTGTTGTGTAACAGCAGAGCCCAAGGGGAGGAACTATTTGAGGCCAGCCGGTTACACACGACTTGGCTGATGAACTGGCTTTTAGGTTTGGTTCCGTAATATTAACTTACCACCGGCTGCAGACCACCACCTTAGTGTAGGTTTAGTCACGATGTACAATCGTTAGGGTCAATCTTTACTGACTCTTCTCCAGAGTGGAAAGAGGCTGTGAAATTACATCGACTGAAATGGTTAGGACGTGTGTTACACATCCCTAGGCTTTTCCATCACCTTCCTCAACGAGTAATGTTAGCTGATATACGGTCAGGCTGGAAAAGAGCTAGCCAGTGGTGGTCAAACCAAAACATGGCACCAGTCAATGAAATCTACAACAGTTAGTCTAAACCACTTAGGAAAGTGTAGACTTCTTGGTTGGTAGGGGTCCTCGGAACGGTAAAAACCAATGGCTGGAAATAACTGGTGATATGACTCAAAATCGTTCTCAATGGCGCAGATGCATCCACTACTTGTGACTTATGATTTCCAATGAAACTATATTGTTCTTCGTTATTACTATTCCTTTGTCTCACATCTCTGTTTACTGTCTCTATTATGCATTTCTTCTACTTTCTCCTTTTGCTTTGCGTGCTATATGAAGTGTGGCGACTTGAACTGCCGCACATCGGTGCAAAGTTCTATGTCGAAAACAGACAGACAGAGTGGAGAGACAATATAGGTGACTGGCATGCTGGTCATCTACGTAAGCAAAACACGTTACCGCTGTTACATCCCTGTTCCCTAGCAGTACGAATCCCCCACAGACCCTAAACACAATGTAAACATCTTGAGCACTATGTCCGTAACTGCTTTTAATATAATCGCTATCCTAACAATCCTCCTAGCATGGTAGGACCTGCATAAAAATTAGTTCCAGACAGTGTAGCTTGTCGAGTCATTGCGAAATGCAAGCCCAATCACCAGGTTAAGGTAGCACCTGTATCAACTCTTAGCTTAAAGATAGACAGACAGGAGTGAAGTGATAGAGTGAGTTGTTAGCATCTTCATTTATTTCGGAAGTTGCATCAGCCCCCTGGAGACTGATTTCATTTCCCGTGTTGGGTTCTATAATAGGGGTGAGTAATATGTTAGGAGTCGAGTGCTAGGCAGGTGGGAGAGGAAATCAATCTATGAGATTGTGAAGCAGTTGCATTGATTGAGATGGTTAGGACGTGCGTTATCCATGCACATCAAATCATCAACTTCCTCAACGGAAACGTTAGACACTGGCATAGGATGAAGTTGTAATGGTGCTCGAATTAGAACACGGCTGCTGATAAGCGCTGCTTAGTCTTCTGAAATATACCCTACCACCAACTAATCATTATCAAATACTGATTTATTTTTCTAGAGAAAGACACAGAAACAGGTTGGTTAAAAATTTTTTCTTAAAAACAATAAAACGATTTTCTTCAAGTATTTGTTACTTCACACATATACACACACACGTACACACGCAAAATGAACATCCAAACAGATGCACGTAAGCACACTCACACGAACACTACACACGACTTGAGATATAAATTTAGAAGGCATTGAAGTGCTTAGATTATCACATCATGCTTGTATCATTTTTCGGCAAGAGTGAAGAACAGACACCCTACAGTCAAATGACACCTTGAACCAACCAAACAAGATCGCGCTCAGCATTACAACAAATGGATGCTTTCCTTCATCTTCGTTACAAGTTTCATCCTGTTTCAGGGTGGTTAAGGGGTTGGTGTAGGATTGAGGTCGGTTTATGATTACGGTTAGGGTGAAACTTGAAACGAAGATTATGAAATGCTGAGACATCTGATTGGTTAGTTGAATGTTATTCGACTGTGGTATTCATTTTTACTGTTGCCCATTTTTGTTTTATTTAGATCCTTAGTATATTCATAGGTATATGTATGTAGGTACATAATGTCTAAGAAGTACGATAACCCGACTAACTAACTGACTCACTGACTAACTCCCTGACTTCTCAATGTAACAACAACATAGGACATTTGAATGGATCTGGAAGTTAGACAAACAGATCTAAGCTTAGTGGTCCTATGTTCAACGACATATTCTTGCAAAATGTCAGACAATGAACTCAATTATACTCATCTTCTTGCATAAACGACGTGGTCTGCAAATGTGAACGAACTTCAGTTCATTTGAGAAGTTAGAGCAATCAAATAGGTATCATTCAATGCCCTACTTTTTCACAGTTTGTTGTTAACTCATGCATTTGCCCTGTTATTCATTATCATTGCCACCATCCACGCCCACCCGCCTCATTCTTTCCTGGGCTACTCAAAAAGGACTATATCATTACTGGGGCGGAAGGTGTGTCATTAGGTCGGCTCGTTGTAACGTTGTAACTGACTGCAGTTCGGATGAAACGAAGGATGAGTTCTACCAAAAGCTGTCTAGTTTGGTGGAAAGGCTAAACGCTCAGACATAGTCGTTCTAGCTGGTGACTTTAACGCTCAAGTAGGGAAATTGTGTCAATCTGAGAAGGATGTCGGTGGCACCTATGGAGCTCCGTGCCAGCGAACCGACAACGGTGACCGTCTCCTACAGTTCTGCTCTGATAATCATTTGTTTCTTGTAAGCACTAACTTTAAACACAAGGAGAGACACTGTTTGACTTGGAGACCCCCTTCATCAAACCAACGCTGGACACAAATAGACCACATAGCAATAAGCTATCGTTGGCGTGGGTCGGTAGGAGATTGTCGCTCCTTCTGGAACACGTGCGTAGATACCGACCATGCACTGGTCCGCGCTCGGGTGTGCTTACGACTGAACGGACGTAGGAAACAGCTGGCGGTAAAACCATCACGTCCCCAGCTCGATCAGGAAACTAAATCCGTATTTGAGGAAGAACTAGCTAAACACATATCTGTGTTCGACAGCTGTGCTCACCCTGAAGAAGCTTGGAAAAATATCCAGGCAGCCATAGATACAGCTGTAAAAGCTGTGAATAAGGTAAACCCAAAGGTGAGTAAAAACCACTGGATCTCCACCGCCTCATCCGAACTGATAGATGCTAGAAGACTTATTCCGGCGAGCTCCGAATTCAATGAGGAGCGAAAGCTGCACAAGAGGAAACTTACGAAAAGTCTCCGCAAGGACCGTGAACAGTGGTGGGCGACAAAAGCCAAAGAGATGGAGAAAGCTTTGAGGATAGGCAACACCAGGCAACTCTTTGGACTCATCAGGGAAACGGGTGGGAGAAGACAAATCATTAGTGAGACAATCTCGGAAAAAAATGGCACTATAATTAGCTCCCAGGATAGACGACTGGATCGTTGGAAAGAGCATTATGAGGAGCAGTTTAATTTGCCCACAGCCACGCTCAACCTTCCGAGCATCCAACACCTCCCTGAATGGGATATAGACACAGGTCCTCCGTCACTAACTGAGGTTACTAAAGCTGTCACCAATCTGAAACTAGGCAAAGCAGCGGGACCTGATGGAATGACTCCAGAGGTATTTAAGTACGGTGGAGACAGCTTACTGTCCGGATTAACTGAGGTACTAGGCAGCGTCTGGGAATCAGAAGAAGTCCCATCGGGTTGGTGTAAGTCACTGATTATCCCCATATACAAGAAGGGAGACAAGTCTTCCTGTGATAATCACAGAGGGATTAGCTTGACTAATATAGTATCTAAAGTCTTAGGCTCAATAATCATGCGTAGACTGAGTGGTGCTCGGGAAGCACAAACACGAGAGAGCCAGGCAGGCTTTAGACCAGGAAGAGGGTGTATTGATCATATCTTCACCCTCCGACAGATTCTAGAACATAGGCATTCCTACCGGCGTCCAACAGTCATTATATTTCTTGACCTAAAGGCAGCATTCGACTCTGTCGATCGGGAAGTTCTCTGGAGATGCTTGGCTGTAAAGGGAATTCCAAGAAAATATATTGCACTGATTAAGGCACTCTACTCGTACTCATACAGCCAGGTGAGGGCTTACGGCGAGCTGTCATCTGAACTGATGACGACCAGTGGTGTCCGTCAAGGATGCCCATTATCTCCTTTTCTATTCAACTTCATCATAGATGTGTTAATGGACTTAACCCTAGGTGACTTCAGCGACTCAGGGATTGACTTGCTACCGGGAATAATCTCGTTGACTTGGAATATGCAGACGATATAGTCCTTCTAGGCGAAGACGCTGACGAAATGCAGAGTCTTCTAAACACCTTGAGCCGCAATCTACGAATGTTTGGCATGCGATTCGCTCCCGCCAAATGCAAGATGATGTTACAGGACTGGACTACATCGACGCCTAGTTTAAAAATAGGAAGTGAAGTGGTAGAGCACGTTGACCGCTTCACTTATTTGGGAAGTACCATCAGCCCCAACGGGCTGATCTCTGACGAAATCTCAGCACGAATACAAGGGGCTCGTTTCGCATTTGTTAGTTTACGCCGACTCTGGCGTAGACGAGATGTTCGACTATCGACCAAAGGGCGGGTGTACTGCTCATCAGTCCGCTCCGTCCTCCTTTATGGTTGTGAGACCTGGCCACTGAGAGTGGAAGACATGAAAAGACTAGCTGTCTTTGATCATAGGTGCCTGCGTTCTATTTCCCGTGTAAAGTGGCATAATAAGGTGAGCAACATGGAGGTTAGGCGTAGAGTTCTAGGTAAACAGGGGAAATCAATCGACGAAGTCGTGAAGCTACAAAGACTGAGATGGTTAGGACATGTGTTACGTATGCCAAGCCATCGCCTCCCTCGACGAGCAATGTTAGCGGATATAGGGTCAGGCTGGAAAAAAGCTAGCGGCGGTCAAACAAAAACTTGGCATCAGTCAATGAAATCCACAACAGTTGGTCTAAGCCACGTAGGAAGGTGTAGACTTCCAGGCTGGGGTCCTCGGGACGGTAAAAATCTATGGTTGGAAACAATTGGTGACATGGCTCAAAATCGTTCTCAGTGGCGCAGATGCATCCACTCCCTGTGACTTATGATCTTCAATGAAACTGTTTTGTATTTCTTTATTACTCCTTTGTCTCACACCTCTGCTCACTGTTTCTATTATGCTTTTCTTGTACTTTCTTCTCTTGCTTCGCGTGCTACACGGAATGTGGCGACTTGAACTTCCGCACATTTGTGCAAAGTTCTATGTCGAAAACAGACAGACAGACGTTGTAACGCTGGACAACTACTGTAACAAACTCGATGCTGTGGAACTCAATTTGTTTGCAAGGATTTGATCTGTTTCAGGTATGACCATAGGTTGATATGACAGCTGGAGAGCTGGACAGCTAGTTGTTTCGTCAGTATAGTTTAGGACTCACTGTCAGTATACACCCACCGGATTAAGAACCCTGCGAGCTCGTAGACGACTCATCAGCCACTAGGACCCGGCTCAATGGCCAGTCGATGAATTCTAGCTTCTACTAAATCGCAATGATTTTAGCACCACTAGCCCCAGCTAATGCCACCTGCGGCGAGTATTTTTCCCTCACTCGCAACCAAGTGGAATCAGGTCCCAATGGCTGAATGATCATCAACGAGTATGCCTTGTAACCTAAAGGTTCTCGGCGCTTCGAACCCCTGCAGTGAGTGCCTATGATCAATAAGTCCCAAACTAGCTAGACAGGAGGAAACAGCTGTCAAGTCTTAGGATCACTCACATCACAAGATTCGCGTGAGCACAGTGGTTCGTCATAATTACCTGTGCCTCACGTTTCAGTAACGTACTAGTGCCTTTTTTCTTACGCGATAAAGTTGTCAAATTCATGCATGCCTAACCTTCCATCCTTTTTGGCCTATAACATACCTACCTATCGGCATCGTTTAGCCGTTCACATCAGTCAGGAATCGAACTTAGATGATGAGGTGGTCAATGTCCAGTTTCGAAATAAACCAACTAGGATTGGCTTCCCCGTAAAATAAAGCCCACTATTCTATTGATCATGAATATAGACTAATTGGCATATCCTTGGTGATTTTCTCTTGAATCATACATTATTGCATGATATATACTTTGTATGTGTGTCCAACTCAGCGTCTTTATTTCAGTCTGAGCGCATTACAAAATACATTACATTTAGTCCCGCTCCTACTGCATGTTTGAAGAACAATCAGCTAATAAAATCAATGAGGTATAATTCTTTAGACACACATATTACCGATTACCAAAACACGAAAATTCAGACTTACCTTTGATCATCTAACTTTGAGAAAAACTCATCCACCGGGTTATTCAGCGTTGAATCCTTAACACCAACACCGTCGTCTTTACCATCTTGAGAATTATTTAACGAATCCATAACAGATAACAACTGTTTGCCTTCTTTCGATTTCGCCTTTTTATGTGAACTATTATTTTTACTTGTTTTATTATTATTACTATTTTCTGCCGGTTGGGGGGCATCTGGATCAATGATATACCTTGGCATCAATGCGGCAGTCACTAGTAAATGTAAACAGATAGCTGCCATAACAACTGCCCCACCTCTAGCCCCGTATGTCACATTCAAATGGGTAATCAGTGTGGGAAATACCATTTGACCAACACTAACACCAGCCACACTAATCCCATTCGCCAGGCCCAAATATCGTTTGAAACAGCAACCGACAACAGCGAATACAGTAAAGTATATACATGACAGTGAGGCACCTGGGGTGCAGAGGAAAGGGAAGGAGGGGAAGAGAAAGTACACAGAGAAAAGATTATCTCAACTGTTTGACAAGCGTTAGATATACCAACTATATATATATATATATATGGGGAAATTATGCACACCCTATATTATCATTCGCACAGATTTTCCACCCTGTACGCTACTTCTGCCCTCCGTATAGTGCTTTTATTTGTCTTCTTTTCGTGTCTCTCATGTTTTGGCGCAATACACTGGTTGGTTCATTTCCCCTCTGATGTCATATCCACCTATCTCTCTGCTACTTGATATTTTTGTGTGCCGATGAACATTTCCTTATGTACTACTGATAAACCTTATCAGTAGCGCAGGCTTCACGCCTATCTCCTTGGTTCTACCCATTCTTGTTTTACCTTGGTCCCAGTTTCACTATCCCACTGAATATCCATTTCTGCAATCGGTTGAAGTTAACTCGTTCCTGTTTATCTGTTCTTCTGATGGTATCTACAGGATTACATCTATCTCACCGCATTGGAGAAAAAGCCATCTTCGGAGGTGAACTTTAGGTATCTCTCTCTGTTTCTGTGCATAAAACCAACGTATAGCAGCTCCTGTAGAAATAGATATGTACGGTTGTATTCTGCGTTTTCCATCTAAACAGGTCATCGAATATTCACCACCACAGCCCCATGGTTAAAACAAAGGCAGAGAAAGATCCCCACCTCTCAGCTTTATTTTGTAAAACACCTTATCAACTCTAAACACTGGGGAACTCAAAACCAGGACTTCAACAACAGCGGACACCCGCCTCCATTTCCAGTTTCTTTGCCGTTTTTTTATTCATTTTCGTTCCCGGTGGAACATATAGCTTTAAACACTAGTGAGATGTGTGTGCACTTCTGAAGATCGCTAACTAGGTGGAACGGAACAGACGCCTGGCATACTCTTAGTCGGTTTCCCAATGATTCATTAACTAATGTCAGCTCGTGATGAAGTCCTGTAACAAATTGAACCTGTACACGAACAGTGATTTGAATCTGACATAATCTAAAGTATTTCCAACAGGCTACTGTGGCAGACTTTCACTAACAGCTATCCTATTGCCTAATCCCAAACATAGTGAAGACCAGATGGAGCCGACCAGAAAGGATTAAAAACAGAACGGAAGTTTGGCAACAAGGCAACCATAACCAACCATTAATAAAAACCGATGAAAATGAAAGCGGATGGATAGATCGGAATCACGCGGAGGAGACTGTTGAGTGTATTTGATAATCGAAACAATAACGGATCAGTGGGGTTTGAGATACAATGGTGGTAGTAACATCGCTCGATCACTCACTCATTCAATCAGTCAGAATGAAGTGCCTCTTTGCAGCAGTGCAGTACAGTACACACACAAATGATACCAACGGCTAGGTATCCAACACCCAGATATCTTAACTTCTGAGGATCCCAGCAATTTCTAAATTACTATTATTATTATAACTACGCATTTTACGGAAAATCAATTTATGTACTACACTGAAAATGCGACAAATTATTGATTTTAGCAAGGAAAATGCACTGAAATCATCGTTATTATTATTATTATTATTATTATTTTATTATTATTATTACCGTCAAAAGTGCATAACGTTATCTAGAATATCTGGTTGCGCTAAAATCATCACGAATCGGTAGCAGTTAGGATTCATGGGCTGGCCATGGAATCACGTCTCAGTGGCTGCATAGTCCACGAGCTTGACTCATAAACGGAAAGTCTTGGGTAAGTGGGTGTGTACTACCGACGAGTCCCAACCTTGGCTCACGAAACAAATAGCTGTCTAGTAGTTCCTCCTCCCCGACTCGTTTTAGTAGTTCTCTAAATACTATATCAATCTATGGTCAAACTTGAAACACATCGAATCCCCGCCCCAACAAACAAAATCATGAAAAATAACACTGTGTTTATGAATGGTAAATTATAGTTTAGGTTAGGGGAACATAAAGGTTTGATTCGCCGTTCAGGGACAATTTAGAGTTGTTATCATTATTATTCTCTTGGGCACTGAGTATAACATAGACCGTCAACCGGGGCACATCTCCACTTTATCTTATGCTCTAAGGTTCTCTTCATCTGGCTGTTCCCAAGATTTGCCACAGACTCTAATCACCTTTATGCCACCCACGGACCAACACCCAGTGATTTAAGCAGACCGCCAGAGACGGCATTAGGGCAAGGCGTTACTAGCTAGCCTCACCCTTAACCCGTCTTCTTTTTTGCCTATCTCACAACGGTCGTTTAAGACAGTGCATCGGCGTGGAACTGAACTCTGGACCACATGAGCGGTTGGTGAGCAGTCAGTACCGACTGAACTGCCACATAAAAATAGTTAAAACTGAAATAATTTCTACAAAAATCACCCTCGTCGGAGACGCAGGTGCACAAACGGACACTTACCTACTCCGAAACCGACAGCAACTACCCATAGTGCAAGATTCGGTGAACAGGCAGCAATTAGCAAACTGATACACGAACCAAAAGCACCCACCGCCACGACAGGTCGACTTCCGTACCGTTTAGAAAGATGATAATTAACCAGAGCTATAAAAGACAAAGTGAAATAAAACAGATAATTAATTATTCAATTGCTGGTTTGCAGGGATTCCATTGGTTATAAGAATTTCATCACGATGAGCTCAAATCCATCTCTTAGAGAACCATAGAGAAAACCTAGAAATACTGCTAGACACCTATTTAGTCTCACCTAATTTGGATTGCTCATCAACAGTAGGCATTCATCTCTCTGGGGTTTGAACCAACCAGGACTTTCCCAGCTCGTAGAACATTAGGCGACGAGGAACCGATCTAAATTCTGCCAATTCACGATACAGCGTGACACGCACTAGTTAATGTCATCCGTGGCGATCATTCGTCCTCACACCCGACCTGCTTTACTGTACCCCACTGGTCACGAATTACCACTAGAATAACCCAGGTAACTACTACCTGTCTGATGAAAATGGTCAACCACCGCTAGTGAGTATCAGACAAATAAAAAAACTGGAGGGTCCTGGGTGGTTCAAAAACCAATAGGGTCGGTGCATACTGCTGAAGAGCCAGTACCATACTAAGTGGGATGAAACTGACTGACTGGAGATGCTTTGAATCAACGGCTGAAGCCTATCGGTAATATAGCTCAAAACCATTCTTGACAGCACAGATGCCCAGATTTCTTGATCAACATTTACCGTATCAAGCTCCAACTGATAGCTGCTACCTTAACGTGGTGTGGTCGGGTTCGCATATCACGCAATAACCCAATAAAAAGCCATACTAGCGTGAAGTAATGTTCCTGTAGGTCCTACCACAACGCTAGAAAGGTTTGAAGTGATTTGGTTATCTGAGCTAAAAGAAACCTAGTGAACCACTGATGACTTCGGCCCACTAAACGAACGAAACAGATGTCCGGTGTGTGTCTGCAGCACTTCGGCAATCTGGCTACCTAGTTAGCCAGCATTAATGGTTGATGTGATTGGGAATATACAATGAAAACTAGTCACGTCAATCGCAATAAGTAGTATATGTCGCGCGGCAAAATTTATGCTTGCTGTCTCGACTACCCACCATTACTCGCCTATGGGTACCACGATAATATACGCCAAAAACACAAAACTGTCACATTGTCCGTGCGACTGTGGCTGGGATGTATACTGCCCAGTACTGTGAAGCAAGGGGGTGGTTGTCTTAAAGAGAGCAGCCCCATCCCTCTCATAGAAACACCTTTGTCTTGAAGTCAGTCTAATCGAAAGTTGTAGTGCAGTGGATCAGCGTCCAGATTAGCTATGTTACCATGGTCGGCAGTCACCAAAGCAAATTCACAAGTCATTCGATCCGTTTAAGTTCCGCATTCATTGTTTTTTCTCCAGCTCCTAGACAGGTTGTAAGTGCCAGACGTTCGCACTCGCTCTTTCACCTTTGTGAGGAACTCCCAACACACGCCGCATGAAGGCAGGAAAGAGGAAGTGAGTAGGACTTTTCGCTGGTTACGCAACGCAGAAGATAAACGAGTAGCCATCTCATGAGAGTATTTCTCAAGTCTGTTCAAAAATTAGCTGCACCACCAGGCCCTGTATAGGGAAGTATCATCAATCAGCCCGACAAAATGTGTGTGACCTGATCTGATTTCGGTGGTAATTTCGTCTCCTCGAGCTGAGCAAACTGGGGTGTCAAATCTAAATAACAAACACAAGAGAGATTATTGATTATTTATATATTTAAAACACAGAAACCTGGTACAATAAAGGCACCAAGAAGATGCGCTACATAATATTTATTATTATTATGCAACACATGCAAAGAAATATAGTTAGAGAATGAATAAACGGCTTCGTGCAGAAAGCCAGCAGCCGCTATATTTAACAAGACCAAACAAGACCATCATCATGGGTAGAGAAGCTCTTGCAAAAATGAATGAAAACGGAGAACTCTTCGCCGACTTCTGCGCCTTCAACGAACTAGTGATTGGTGGCAGTGTATACAAGCACAAAGATATCCACAAGGCTACATGGGTGTCACCAGACGGGCAAACCAAAAACCAAATCGACTTCATCTCAATCTCAAGGAAGTGGAGGCGCAGCCTACTGGACACAAAAGCAAGAAGAGGAGCAGACGTTGGCTCAGACCACTATCTCGTACAAGGGACAATCCAAATCAAATTAAAAGCTTTCAGGGAATCAGGAGCTGCAGATAGACCACAAGCCAAGTTCAACACTCAAAAGCTGAAGGACCAGGCTACAAAGGACATCTTCATTGCAAGCATAAAGGACAAAGCCGAGACACAAATCAACACCAGCGAAAAGGTCAGCGTCGAAAAGCACTGGAACAACTTGAAAACGGTGTGGAGCCAAACCTGCATAGAAATTCTAGGCAGAAAAAAGAGACAGGACAAACAGTGGCTCACTACGGACACTTGGAAACTAATAGAAGAGAGAAGGACAGTGAAACAAAAGATTATCCAGTGCACTGACGAGCAACAAAAACAGGAGCTGAATGCAAGCTACAATACACTGAACAAAAGAGTGAAGAAGAGTGCCAGGGAAGACAAAAGAAAATATTATGAAACCATGGCAAACGAAGCAGAACAAGCTGCAGGCAAAGGAGACCTCGCCACACTCTACCAAACAACTAGGAACCTTTCGGGCAAACGTTCGACACAGATTAAGCCAATAAAGGACGACAATGGAAAGTCAATCACCAAAGAGGTGGAACAGAGAAAGCACTGGGCTGAACACTTCAAAAGACTTCTAAATCGTCCGCCACCTACAACACGCCCAACAATACCAACAACGGAAGCAGAACTACCAGTGAACACTGACCCCCCGACGAAATCAGAAGTCCTGAATGCAATCAAGATGCTAAAAGCTGGGAAAACACCGGGACCAGATGGAATCCCAGCAGAAGCTTTGAAAATAGACCCAGAGACAACAGCGGACTTGATGACACCACTGCTGGAGAAGGTGTGGAAAGAGGGCAAAGTACCCGAGGATTGGAAGAACGGATACTTATTCAAACTTCCAAAGAAAGGAGACTTAAGTCAATGTAAAAACTGGCGTGGAATTATGCTTCTGTCCATTCCAAGCAAGATACTAAGTCGCATCATCCTGGAGAGAATCAAACAAGCCCTAGATGAAAAACTTCGTCCGGAACAGGCTGGATTCAGGAGAAACAAATCATGTATTGATCAAATCGCCACTCTACGGATCATCATTGAACAAAGCTTGGAATGGCAGTCACCTCTCTATCTCAACTTCATCGACTTTGAAAAGGCCTTCGACAGCGTCGATCGAGAGGTCATTTGGCAACTACTTCGCTACTACGGGGTCCCATCGACAATTATACATCTCATCCAACAGTTATACGACAATGCTGCATGCCAAGTAATCCACAACGGGAAACTTACGGAAGCCTTTGAGGTGAGGACAGGAGTGAGGCAAGGCTGTCTACTATCACCAATGATCTTCCTGATTGCAGTAGACTGAATAATGCGACAGACAACGGCAACCAACGAGGGAACGGGAATGAAATGGACTCACACAAAAGACTTGGAGTATCTGGACTTCGCTGATGATATATATCTGATTTCCCACAAACTGGAAGATATGCAAGTGAAAAGCAACAAGTTGGCGAAAGAAGCATCAAAGATAGGACTTCAAGTGAACATAGATAAGACAGAGGTGATGAAGATTCCTAGCCAACATCAACAGCAACAACAACAACAGACAACAATCAGCCAGAATAAATGGGAGGAACCTGAAAGAAACAACCTCCTTTATCTACCTAGGAAGCATCGTTTCAACTACAGGCGGAACTGACAAGGATATCAAAGCCAGAATCGGAAAAGCAAGGCAGGTTTTCATTACTCTCAAATCTGTGTGGAGGTCAACAGCACTCAGCATCAAAAATAAGATCCGGATTTTCAACTCCAATGTAAAATCAGTGCTTCTATACGGATCAGAGACCTGGCCAGCGCGTCATAAAGAGCATCTCAAACAAACTTCAGACCTTCATTAACAGCTGTCTTCGCTCAATACTCAAGATCAGATGGCCAGCCAGAAAAGATCAGCAACAGGGATCTCTGGGAGCGAACTGACCAGGAACCGATTGTGAAACAAATAGGCAGGAGGAAATGGAGATGGATTGACTGGCCATACTCTGAGGAAACCATCACGTTACATCACTAGACAAGCCGTTGCTCAAGTGGAACCCGAAAGGGAAACGGCGAGTTGGTCGTCCAAGGGAGACTTGGAGGAGGTCATGCGAAGGGGAGATGAAAGCATGTGGACAGACCTGGAGCGGGGTGAAAAAGTTGTCAGAAAACAGAAGGCAATGGAGGTACGCAGCTGAAGCCCTATGTTCCTCTAGGAACTAAAGGATACAATAATATAATAATAATAATAAACAAGACCATTTGTCAAGTTGTTGTCGGAAAGGAAAGAAAGAAGGAAATTGAGGTAGCGCGTTCGCTATTGATGATTGTGATTCTTTGGCCATATCCGACAACTAACATAAGTCAGCCACCAATTCCAGCTATCTCCCTCGGACCCCAACTAGGGAGGGAATTGTGACGCACTGACCGATGACACTAACCTAACACACATATCCTTCACATCTCATCATGACACGTGATAGGCTGGCTGACAACTAACTTTCCACCTTTCGCATGCGGTCTCAGGGCTGGCTAGCGAACAGACGCCAGTACGGAAGCCTCCTCCGAGATGATGACATTCGTAGCACATGTCCACCAAGGCAGCGAAGACCCGGTGTTCCTAGATCACAACGACACTCAGTGAATGAATGGCGATCTCCGCTATGTGCAAACACACGCTGCTTGACCTTCGAATCACTCACGATGATGATGTCATGGAACGCAAGCATCAGATCTATGGGGACAGCGATGACTAAATAAGCAGAGTCGCCACACATCCTCACACTACAAAGAGATACCAGTTTGTCTCACAGGCGTATTGACCAATACAGCGCGCGCACCGAAGTATTGTAAACCCGACGTTTGACGGCAGTCCGGCAGGCTAACGTGATTTTGGCGCTACAGGTGACTCCATTAGACGTATGTCAACACGCAGCTTTCATTATGACACGGTCAACCAAACCTCCGCAAGCTACCCACATACACGAACTTAAACAACTTCAAGCAGTTCACCGGCTGCAAGAGTGAGTGCAGTACCAGTACTTTGTACTTAGACGGCGCCGCAAATCACTCGAGAGGTAGTTCGTGTATGAAACCTGAATAAATCAGAGCACTCACATTTGGCACATCACCGTTCTTTCTCTCTCTCTCTCTCTCTCTTCATTAAAACCCTACCCACCCACAGAAATCTCGAATCGGAATAACAACACCAACAACAACTTTGGAACAACTACATGTAACTTGAGAATAAAATTGAACTGTATATCAACAAATTGAAATGCAACAAAATATGTTGCAGAATGCAAAACATGCTATATGCATATGTGCATATGACTTCTGTATTACATAACATTTTTTTTAAAAATGTAACCACCAAATGAGTTATGCAACATTTCAACTTTGTTATTTTGACATAGACCCACTTGCATTTTGTGTACAATAACATACGAAATAAATAGGCTGAACATAAAACACCCACACAGATTATATGACTACGGGGCAGTAATTTCGCTCGAAATATTACCAAAAGAAACAAAAAATTATTCAAGTGTTGGTTTGCATGGATCTCATTGGTTACAGGATTTCATCACGAGCTGACATTGGTCAAAGGAGCATTGGAAACCACCAGCAGTGAGTACTGGACAGTTGTTGTGTCAGCCTAGTTTGGAACTCTTGGTCGAAAAGAGAAACTCTTCACTGAAGACTACCACTTGTTCCGGACCAATAACTACTACTACTACCTGAACTTCGTGGCAGAAGTGGGGGTTATGGACTCATCAACTGACTGCCAATGCCATTTTTCATCCTGTCTGTCTCTGTCTGGATTCAACATAGAACTTGCCACCGAAGTGCAGCAGTTCGAGTTGCCACGTTCCAAATAGCCCACAGAGGTAGACAAGAAGATGAGTGAAGAGAATCAATAGAGTTTGACAAGTATAAGAGTGAAACAGAATGGGTAATGGTAGAAAGGAATATGAAAGATTACAGAGACTGAATACATCTGCGCTGGCCATTGACAACCACTTTGAGCCATGTCACCTATTGTCTCCAGCCATTGATTCCTAGAGTCCCGAGGGCCCCAACCCGGGAGTCTGCATCTCCCTACCTGACTCAGTTTAACTGTCAAGGATTTCATGGATTGATGAGGCCATGTTTTTGTTTGGCCACCACTGGCTCTTTTCCAACCTGAACCTATATCAGCTAGCTAGTAATGGCCCGTCGGGGGAGGCAGTGGTTAGGCATGCGCACCACGTGACCTAGCCATCTTAGTCTATGTAACTTTATAGCCTCGTCGATTGATTTTCCCTCTTTGCCCAACACTCTACGCCTAACGTCAACATTACTTATCTTGTGAAACCACCTAACGTGAGACAGAGATCGCAGACATCTATGATCGAAAGCAGTCAAGCAGTTATGCGTGTGACCACATACATAAGAGCACTTTGAAAGTTGAAATCCTAGGCTGCACATACACCAAGTCTTTGTTTATGGAACTGTTTAACAGTTCATCACAGCCTCTTGCAGTTTCCTGAGAAGTCGGGATACCGAGCATGACCAAATACATGCGGAAAGCCAACAAAAGGTATGCACCACTACACCTGCAGCCTCACAACACACGACTGGGATATATAAATGCTGAAACTCATACGAAATGAAATTCACACGAACCCGGGTAATCCATCTAACACACTTTTCGCTTCAAACAATCCTTGGTCTATCCAAAGAAGTCCAAAACCGAAAGATCTATATGCTCGACTGCTTAAGCGTGAACACAAAAGTGCTTGATGAACGCGTTTATCACGCCTGGAATTCCAAAGACCAAAAAGAGAGAGAGAGCAAGAAAAATAGTTTGAGCACAATAAGATGGTACTATGATTGGTTATTTCGTTGGCTTCTCATCAGCACTGCGTAGAGCCTTAAGAAATTAACTAAGTTTATGCACAGAACAATTTTAACATACTCGCAAAAGTAATGAGATGGTGTCAGTTAATAAAAAGAGGCGCCAAATATCTAAATGAATAACGCTCAGAGAATTACACATATGTAGTTTTTCACCCAGAGAGAGAGAGTTCACGTTCGAACGAAAATTCACTGCACATATACAATGGTAAAGGAGTTACGTAACAAACATGAGAAGTGAGTAAGATGATGAGTAATTAATAAAGTGGGTAACAATGGGGTGAATTCAACTCAACTCAAATAACAGAAACAAGGGACAAGCTAAATTACATTGTATCAAAGGGAGGAGAGATTAAAGTAAAAGGAGAGAATGAAAACATCAAGTTACCAGGTGGGAAGGTTAACGAAAGACTGATAACTGCTTCTTTCTGAACACATAAATCGGGTTTTAGGCGTTTGATGGAAATTCCTTCAGTAAACTTGAAGAGAACTCAGCTTTTTCGCTTAGTGATAATTTTGCAATTAGTAGTGTTCTCTGAACAGGTTGGTTTAGTTGCGGAGCTTTCGTCGTCCTTCTGGACAACATCTCCAGAGCAACTTTTAGCATAAACGATTTTGCAATGTCCACCTCAAGATCCCTTTAAAGAAGATAACCGGCAATGGCACTATTGAAAACACTTGTTCTCTTGAAACATAGGCTTTTATGGTACATGTTCAGAAAATCGGAGGTGTGTCCTTATTCTTTCTTTTCTCCCAATGTAACTGCTCCCACAGATACATGTAAATTTGTATGCATAGTTGGAGTTAACATGAGAAGATTATCTGCCGACTTTCAATTGCAACAAAGAGCATGTTGTCCGATAAACAGGAACCAAGTTACCGAAGTGCAGGGGATAAGCTCTAATTGCTGACGTATTCAGTCTTCTGTTGACTAGTCCTGCAGTATAATATCACCTTCAAAATCGAGTTGAATGAAGATGGGTTTTCTTCCCACTGTGATTTGTTTGGCATCTCAGACTTACGTGCATCTTTCGCACTTATTAATAAATCACTAGGGTAACCATTGCTCTTCAACATCTTTTCGACAATTGAGACTACTTCTAGTTTCTATGTACAACACATTCGCCTGACTCGGTAGAGGGTAGTTTTGACTAGTGCTTGCTTTTATAGCTACTTAGACAAAAACTATTAAAATGTAGGTATTGTCCATTATATCTCGGCTTTCGGTAAATTGATCTCTGGAGACCACACCACCTTCTAGACGTTGCATGAAATGAAACTTTCCATCATTTTCATATTCCATAATGAATTCAATATTTGCATGTGCGTTGTTGGATAATCTCAGTCGGTAGGAAGCATGACGCTTTCATTGTTGCACACTACAAATGTGTCCTCTGTGACATATCGACAATAGGCAGTTGTTTCATCGAGATTGTATGCTTAAACTGTTTTGCTGGTTCAAGGTTTGACATGAAAATGCCTGCTAAAGCAAGGCTAAGTGAACTGCCGATATCTACACCATCTATTTGCCGGTGAAGAGTGTTGTCAAACTGAGCTGTACATCTGTGGATACACATTAGCAGTAGGCGTTTGAATTCCGACAATGTGAATAGAAGATAAGAATGCTGAGAAATGATCTTGATAGTTTCATTAATTTATTGGGATATATATATATATATATATTAGTCCACCTTCCCCAACGCGTAGGATGAGCATACTTACATGTCCCTACCTTCCCCTGCACAAGTCCGTTTCTGCAAGTGTTGGGCGTCTATTGGAATTACCTGGTAGAGAATGTAGAAACGCGTTTCGACGGGAAGGAGGGGAGAAAGATAGAAGTTGACGACCCTCGGCCGCATTAACGTTCCCGTTTTATTTTCCGGCAAAATATGGATGAAATTTACGGCAAAATAATAATAATTATTTCAAAGGAAACTCTTCACAGAACTTACATAAACAATACATTAGGGTATAAATTAAACCACCGGCAAGAAATAAGTAGGCGGATCCGCTCTCAAATACTTCTTGAAAGGCTTCCATAACTAGACTGTAGGATTTCCCCAAGCCACCCAAGAGAACGTTGGCAACAAAACCACCTATTGTTTTTTTGCGTACGTGGAGAGGGAAGGGAGAAAAAGGACAGAGAATGGATGAATAACACTGTCAATTAATTTTTAAAAAATAAGAATACTACAGGAGCTAGTTCGTCCGTTCTCATTATTAATGGGTCTTGGAGATTCGATTCGCTTCTGAAGCTATTTAGAAGGATAAGCTCTGAAAGAGTTCATCGGAAAATTTAATCGAAAATGTACTACTTTATAGAAGATATGCCGACAACATTGTGATCATAAGTGATGATAAGCCTTGTTTTGCCACTTCAATATTAAATCGAGTGAATGAAGTTTAAAACAGCAAGCACATCACTTACATTAGTATAAGAGAAAGATAACTGTTTATCTTTTTCCTAGATGGCCTGATGGATCAATACAAAGATCTATTTATAGAAAACCTAAATAGACAGAGACAGGACGTCTTAATTATCACAGTCTCTGCTTTGTTCGATACAAAAGAGTCTTAGTGAGTGAGGTAACTGTTCAGTAGAATCCAACGAATAAGCACTGAAGACACATTTGATGATGAAGAAAGAAAAATGACAAAAACTCTGGTTGATAATAATTATCCAGACAAGTTGACAAGATCAGAATAACTGAGAATGTGAAGCTCATATATCCATCTGAGCCCTTAGAACACGTGAAAAATGATGTCACATTCCACTGAATTTATCAGTTCAAATGTACTCGTGGACACACAAACATAAGGAGTATTCATAGATCTGTGCAAGTAGGGGCTTCAGATTATAATAATAATAATAATGAGGCTTTATTCTAAAACACTGTTCTTAGAGTTTTCTGTGATGAATATATTCTTCGTAAAGATGTGCTGAAATTCTCCGCTTTTAGACGGATATCGGAGGATTAAGTCTTCAACGGAAACCCATAGTCACATTGAAAGTTTTTTTTTTGGAACAAGTAATGTTTTGTTCCCTTGGACTTTTGGTTTGATATTCTTGATATTCAGTGTTTACATCACTTGGATCTTTGACTTTGAAAAGACCTTCAGCAGTTTTGATAGCGAAGTACTTCAACACGATGGAGTGCAGTGTCACGACACTTTATCCACCTTATTCAAAAGCTGGCTGGCTGGCTATATGACAGCGCCACGTGTCAAGCAATTCACAATGGAAAACTCAGAGATGCCTGCCTTTGAAAAGAGTGACGACAAAATTCAGTAGGAGAAAACTTCTGACTACTGTCACCCACGATGATATTCCTGATTGTTGTGGAGTGGATTATGCAGAACAACGTATGTGGACAGAGAGGGAGAGAGAGAGAAAAGATATAGGAGTCTGTCGGACAGATAAAAGAAGACTATAGGAGATGTGGACGTCGCGGAAGGCTTGTGTCTAATGTCATGTAAGTTCGAAAACTTACAGGCGGAAACCAACAAAGAGTTGGCAGAAAAGACAGGTAGTGAAGACAAGAATCCAAGTGAACATAAAGAACATGGAGGTGATGAAAATAACCAACCGACGACGACAAGCACCAGTCACTATCAAAGGGAGAAACTTGAAAGATGTCACTTCCTACCCTCAACTTATCTAGTCAAAATCATTCCAGCTACAGGCACGGATGTCAGGACTAAGATTGGAAATGAAAGGTAGATCTTTATCACTCTAAAATCAGCTTGGAAATCTTCTGCACTCGGCCTTAGCATAAACAACAAAAATCGGGTTTTCAACACCAATACTGTCAGTCAGTCAGCTCTTCTATATGGATCGGAAACTTGGCCAGAGCGTCATGAAAAGCATTTCCAACAACCAGCTCTCCCAACTTTTATTCACAGCTGCCTACTTCGCTAGTTGCTTCATATCGCAGATCAAATGGTCAGTTGGCCAGAAAGAGTTAGCAACAAAAAATTCTGGTAGACAACGAACTAATCAAGAATCTATTGCCAAATCAACAAATATCCCGAAGAAAACGGAGACGGAAGATCTGAACATATGCTGCAGAGACCGTTAGATGACGTCGCCAGCCAGTCAAGCCATCTCACTCAAATGGAACCCGAATAGGAAGTAAGCAAGTAGTTGGGAGTGTGCTCGAGTGTGACATGGAGGAGATGACAGCCTAGAGGTTATCGTGGAGCCAACTGGCCAGTTGAAAAGCGGCTACAGAGATCTGTCTGTTTTCGACATAGAACTTTGCACAAATGTGCGGAAGTTCAAGTCGCCACATTCCGTGTAGCACGCGAAGCAAGAGAAGAAAGTACAAGAAAAGCATAATAGAAACAGTGAGCAGAGGTGTGAGACAAAGGAGTAATAAAGAAATACAAAACAGTTTCATTGGAGATCATAAGTCACAGGGAGTGGATGCATCTGCGCCACTGAGAACGGTTTTGAGCCATGTCACCAATTGTTTCCAACCATAGATTTTTACCGTCCCGAGGACCCCAGCCTGGAAGTCTACACCTTCCTACGTGGCTTAGACCAACTGTTGTGGATTTCATTGACTGATGCCAAGTTTTTGTTTGACCGCCGCTAGCTTTTTTCCAGCCTGACCCTATATCCGCTAACATTGCTCGTCGAGGGAGGCGATGGCTTGGCATACGTAACACATGTCCTAACCATCTCAGTCTTTGTAGCTTCACGACTTCGTCGATTGATTTCCCCTGTTTACCTAGAACTCTACGCCTAACCTCCATGTTGCTCACCTTATTATGCCACTTTACACGGGAAATAGAACGCAGGCACCTATGATCAAAGACAGCTAGTCTTTTCATGTCTTCCACTCTGAGTGGCCAGGTCTCACAACCATACAGGAGGACGGAGCGGACTGATGGGCAGTACACCCGCCCTTTGGTCGATAGTCGAACATCTCGTCTACGCCAGAGTCGGCGTAAACTAACAAATGCGAAACGAGCCCCTTGTATTCGTGCTGAGATTTCGTCAGAGATCAGCCCGTTGGGGCTGATGGTACTTCCCAAATAAGTGAAGCGGTCAACGTGCTCTACCACTTCACTTCCTATTTTTAAACTAGGCGTCGATGTAGTCCAGTCCTGTAACATCATCTTGCATTTGGCGGGAGCGAATCGCATGCCAAACATTCGTAGATTGCGGCTCAAGGTGTTTAGAAGACTCTGCATTTCGTCAGCGTCTTCGCCTAGAAGGACTATATCGTCTGCATATTCCAAGTCAACGAGATTATTCCCCGGTAGCAAGTCAATTCCTGAGTCACTGAAGTCACCTAGAGTTAAGTCCATTAACACATCTATGATGAAGTTGAATAGAAAAGGAGATAATGGGCATCCTTGACGGACACCACTGGTCGTCATCAGTTCAGATGACAGCTCGCCGTAAGCCCTCACCTGGCTGTATGAGTACGAATAGAGTGCTTTAATCAGTGCAATATATTTTCTCGGAATTCCCTTTACAGCCAAGCATCTCCAGAGAACTTCCCGATCGACAGAGTCGAATGCTGCCTTTAGGTCAAGAAATATAATGACTGTTGGACGCCGGTAGGAATGCCTATGTTACAGAGAACAGAATGAAATGAAGATGTGTACCCCCCTACCCCGGTGTTGAAGCTCTATGTTCCACTCGGAACTCAAGGGAATAATAATAAATTACCCCGGGATGTCTAGCAAGCAAGCAAGCACCACTGGAAGTTGATCTCATCTCAGCATCAATCAGTAATTAACGGCTACGTTTCATCTCACAACCATAAATTATTCTATAGACCATAATAATTTATCAAATACACTCGCACACATTAACAGAATCTTAATACGTAGCTATCTGTGTGGGAGTGAAGTTTATACATTAAATGCTTACATACTAAATAGTATCAAAACAAATGGCATCATTTTTTGTGGAACAAACAAACACACGAACAAACAGACCTACTAGCATTTAAATACACAGTGTGAAACAGATAAATAAGCGGACGATAAACGTTATTATTATCATCAACACTATTATTACTAAAATATAATTACGTAATGCACGTAAACATGGTTCGGGCACACGCACAAACACAGATGGAGAAATGCACGCATAAACTAAGACACTATGTTAAGCATGCCATACATTCTGAATGAGAATAGACAGACAAATAGATTTGTATATTTTTAAAGTGTACCTTCACCAATGCAATAATAACATTGATAATAATAATAACTAAAAATTTCAATAGACACAAATATATTGTATAAAACAGGTTTGAGATAATGGCCTGAGTGAATTTAGTTAAAATATCATTGAAAATTCAGTACTGGACAGCTGTCTCGTCCCACCTAGTTCGGGATTCACCCTTGAGCAGTACGCACTGACCCCACTGGGTTTCAAACCAACCAGGACCTTACAGTTACAAGGCAGCAACCACGTTGACAACCATTTAGCCACTGGGACCCGATGTGATTCAATGGTCATTCCATGAATTTCAACTTCTGGCAATTAACGCAGGACATAGCGCAACTTGCACTAACCAATGTCATCGGTGGTGATTATTTGTCCTCACATCCACCCGACCTGCTGTACTTACTGTTACGAAGGTGATTGAGTCTTAGAACGATGAGTGGTGCTTGAATCTTGAAAAGACGAATGAACCAAGAATTTAGGCTTTATTCATTTTACAATGAAGCCGGAATGGCTTAAACATATAAAGGAAAAAAAGAGTGTTAATAGCGGTAGAGATATGAATATGACTAGATACGTATTATAAGAAAAGTCCACAACATTCACTGCGGCTTGAAAAGGAATGAGCCATTATGTCACGCTTCTCTGGTACGCAAATTGTAAGGCCGTACACGTTGTTGTTTTTCCAAAAGAATACGCCCGTTGTTCGTTTCAGTTGTATTTTCTTCACGAAGAATATTAGGATCAGTGGTCGCATCCCCATTTACTTGTTGCTCAGGAATTGCGTCGCCCTCCGGTATTGCATTTTCAACTTGATCTATATCTTCGCCTTTGGGTGCCAGATGATGAAGAGCAACTGTATCTTCACGTCCATTACCGAAGCGAACGTGAGCGAATTGCGGGTTACAATTCAATAGCTCCACCTCTTCAACCAGGGATCGAATTTGGACTGAAGAACACTCCGCCGGAGAAGTACTGGTCCTGGTACAGTGAGCCAAGTAGGAAGAGTTGTCCCAGATGTCGATCTTCGGTTATAGGTAAACAGTCGTTCGTGTGGCGTGGCGTTCGTTGCAGTACAGAGCAAAAATCTGATGGAATGCAAGGCGTCGAGTAGAACAGACTCCCATTGTGCCGTTGGTAGGCCCCGTGATCTTAATGCTAGAGTGATGGCACGCCAAAGTGTTCCATTGAGGCGCTCGACCTGCCCATTGGCTTGAGGATTGTATGAGGTAGTACGACTGGTTGCTACGCCTTTCTCCAGAAGAAATGCCCGTAATTCGGTAGACATGAAAGCAGCGCCTCTGTCGGTATGTATGTAAGAAGGCATACCGAAAATCGAAAACAGTTGGCAAAGGCAATTCATTACCGTTTGAGACGACATGTCGGGGCAGGCGAATGCAAAGGGGAATCGAGAATATTCGTCGATCAGCGTGAGCAGATAGTGATTGCGGCTAGCTGACGGTAGAGGTCCTTTAAAGTCGATGCTTAACCTTTCAAAAGGTTGGGTTGCTTTTATGAGTTTGAAAAAGTTCACAACACTTACCTCCACTGTACAGAACCGGTTATTGCTAGAGTGGGCGTCAGATTGATTATGGTTGATTTTCATGGTGTTAAATCATGAACTGAGTGAATTCAGTTGGAGAACCATTAGAAAACCACCATCAAAAGCAGAGACTGCTGGACAGCTAGCTAGCTGTTTCTTTCAGTAACTCGTAGTTTGGAACTCACCCCCTTCAGCAGTAAATGACGCACTCGTCACGCCATTAGGGATCGTACTGAAAACAACGGGACCTTCAGCATATGAGCCAAAAATAAATATTCAGTCCCACTTTGACAGATTTCACAATGTTATATAAATCTGAACCTGTGCGAATCTACAATATGACGGCAGTCAATCCGATCTCTTTCTTTAAACCGACATTTCAACAGATGTGTGTACTGTGCACAGATTGTGCAGCCGTTCATTCTGTTCTTCTTTACAGACTGAATGGGACACAGTTGTTGCAACAAAAGAGGATATAAAAAAGGCTGGTCAGTTAGCTGTCTAGTAATTCCCTGCTACTGGCAGTTTTGAATGCGCTTCTCTTCTTTAACTTATCTCAGTCAATCCGTGATCAAACTTGAAAGCGATCAAATCTCTACACTTGGAAATAACATAATTCGAAAAGTTTAGATAATATTTACAATACAGCGAAGATAATCGGTAGCACTCACCAACGACTGTACACCATGCCATTCCACGATCCACATATACAGTTGACATTTTTCTTTTAAATTTTGTTCTGATAAGAAAACTCGAGGAAAAAAGTTTCTTCGTATTTACATCAGATACTATATGAACAAAACATCAAAGAAAAAATAGAGTGAGTGAAGATTACTTTCAACGAATACACGTATCAGTTCATTGAATAAAACAAGAACAATAGTGACTTGTGTAGAATACGAGATGGTACCATCGTTTATCGGACAACAGAATGCCTCTTGTTTAGTGCAGCCAAACGTTGATAAATACCCTTCTTACTACGTTAGACCTAACTGTATACACAAATTTACACATATCTGCGGTAGAGTTACATTGCGGGAACAGAAGGCAACACCTAATTTCTGAATTTATACCACAAACACTTACACAATAAGGCCACTACCAAATCATGACGTGGACACCATGAAATTCCTTAGAGCTATCACAATAAACAGAATATTTCAATCATCCTCAAGTTTGGCTAAGCAGAAGCTATTATAGAACGTTTGAAGCCCGATTTACGTGCCTGTGAATGTGTCTTCAAAAAGAAGCAGTTCTCAGTCTTTCTATATTTCCCTGGTAACTGAATGTATTTATTCTCTTTTACTTGATTGCGTGATCTTTGGCTTTAACCTTTCCCCTTTCCCAACTTTGATATGATGTTATTTTGTTTGTCTCTTGTTTCTATGATTTGAGTTGAACTCACCAACATTAGCTACTCAATTCATTAGTTACTCATCGTTTTATTCACCTCTTGTCTTAATGGCGTAACTCCTCTGTCATTGTATCAAAGTATTGTTTGTTTAAGCTTTCCGTAACACTTGATTAATAAACAGATTATTCCCATTAGAAAAAGACGTGAACAACCAAAGAAAATTCTCCCCTTTTGACGATTTATTTTCATAATCTGCGCAATAATCGTACTTATATTTAACAATAAAGTTATAAAACCAATCAGATACTGGTAAAATTTGTCCTCGAAAATGTGTCATGTAATGTAAGGTGTAAGCCGCCAGCTTTCGCATCACTTTTTCCATCAGATGGTTAATCCGGTCTAACACTAAGGATAAGATACCGCCACTCTTGACCACCTCAATGTGCATTTATCAGTTTACTTCTTCGTGTGGACCAAAGTATATCGACCGTATGCAACGTCAAGCCCACAAACGTGTTCTGGAACGCTGTGCAACCTGACTAGCCGACCAGAAGAGAAAAGAACAATACCAAAAGCCCTATCCTCGAACACCTTGTCAACTCTGGACATCGAACACCCCAACCTGCATCACTGTTCCCCAGTGCTACACAGAGTCCCTCATTATCACATCAAAAGAATTCGAATAAGCCAGCTATAGGAAGCTGTATCACACGACGCCCTGGCTATTCGGAATCGGGAAACCGGACTTCGGCGTTCAAAAGCACTACACACATTCACTCGCCCTACCGTGACCACAATAACGTTCTCAGCATAATAACGCTTCATTTTATTATGTAAGTCTAATATCATTATTATTATTCTAATCATACTTATTTTATTATCACTATTATTGTTTAAAAATAGCAGTGCATTCCCATAGAGCGGTTCGGACTCTCGTCAAGCATGCAAATGGTCCGGGGTTCGATTCCCGGCCGACGCACATCTGATATCAATGGTCGGCCTGCTAAATTTGGGCTACCGATATCACATCCCGAAAGTCCCATAGCTGTACTAAAATACTGTGTGGAATCAAGCTATGATAAAAAGTAAGCAAATAAAAACTGCCACCTTTTCACTAGTTTTTGTCTACTCATTTTCTCACACCTATTACGTCATCCTAACTTCTGCCCCTTACTTGTCTAATCTTCGCTTAGTCATCCCTTTCTAGATTATACCTCACAATTTATGTAATACATTTTCCAGGATATATTTACCAGTATTTGATTGGTTTTGTGAGTTCTTTGTTAAATACAAATACAATTATTGTACAATAACCTATGGAAATGAATCGTCGAAAAAATTTTCGTCTCTGTTTGCGTCTTTTTCTTATCACTATCTATTAAGTTTGAGGTCTCTTCTATCATTCACTGACATCATGTCACACTTGTTCTGCACGCAAATTTAGTTAATTTCTTCAGGCAGAGCTAACAAGAAGACAACGAAATATATAAATAATGGCACCATCTCATCTTATTCTGTCTACACAAACCGCTGCCATTGTTCACGCTCAATTCAGATTCACAAAATGAGGAATAAGTGTATTATATACAAATATATGTCTCATAAAATAAACTACTTCTTAAATGAGGTTGTAAAACACAAAATTTGAATAAAAGATTAGTTAGTGTATACCTACAAAATAGTGGGTGAGACTGAGCATTGGTATTAATTCACCAAAGAGCATACCTAGTAGGTGATTGTTTGAGGCCAGTTACCCCCCCCCCCCACACACACACACACACACATTCACTCTCTGGAGCGATTTTTACACTTGTGTCTGTGAAAAGATTTTACCACCGGCTATGGATATCACCACTAGACAATTCACGGTGTGCAATTTTCATGGTCAACATTTTCTAACCACCACTCTGCACCCAAACGCACCTACCTCCACAGAGTGCAAAGAGAGCATAATACACTCTCGCGAGCCAACAATGAGACTTACACTATGATGCCAACTGTCATTAAGTTTGATCGCTATCCAAAATACTTTTGCAAGATGGTAAGATATGCAGAAAAATTCAGTCCAGCCAGAGTAGCTGGTCGGTCAGGTGGTGGTAGTGATAATATGCAAAGCAGAACTACTAACATCAATGTTGTATCAAATGGCACCCTATACCACAACCTTGAAATATCCAAAAATTGTAACGAAACCCCTATTAAGAGACCGAGTAAGTTTCACAACATAGAACATCTTTGCGCAGAAGTACTGCGGTTGCACTTTAAGTTACTGGGCTTCTCCCTCCATGTAGCACACAAAGGTAGAGAGAAGAGAGCAAAAAAGGAGATCCAAAAGAATTATTATTAGCAAAAAAATGTACAAGACTTGAAACTGACTGGTTTCAACACAGAACTACTTAGCACAGATGCCCAGCACTAAGTTGCCACTTCTCCCTCCATATACCACACAGCAAGAGGAGAGAGTAGAGGTTCATCACGAGAGATGATAAACGCAAGCGCGAGGTAAAAGAATAGTGATATAGAACAATAGTTTTATAGAATGATATTACAAATCACACAATAAGTGAATGCATCTTCGCTACTCGGAACGATTCCGAGCCATAATACTAATACAGACAGACATAATACTAATAGTCTCCAGCCATTAGTTCTTACCATCCCGATGACTCCAACCAGGAATTCTCCATCTACTGACGTGGCTTAAGCTAACTGTTTAGGATTCTATTGACCAATGCTATGTTTTGGTTTGACCACAAAAATAGGAGAAGGAATACTAGCATGAAAAATGAACATAAGGGTTTAAAGGACCTGATATCATACAAAGAGTAAGCGAATCTGAACCACCATTTAGAACAAAGATTTTGAGCCATCAATCACACCAGCAATCATCAACCACTGGTTGTCAGAATCCAGAGGAACTCATGCCATGATTTTACTACCCCGGCTTACACTTTTTCAGCATTGCTTGTCTCCCTTTTTAGTCTTCCTATGTATGTTACATGGTGTGGTAACTGGAATTGTAGCAGGATTTCTATGCAAAGTAGTTTCATGTTGATACTCCATTATTTTGCCCTATCTAAATATCTACTACAGTTTATGCTGAAACATCACTCAAAGGAGAGCTTCAGGAATAGTGACAGTTGCCACTTGACTTTTCCTAACAACTCAGCATAGCTGAACTCTTCAGACACTGATTTTGGATACTGTGAAAACCTAGTGATCGTAAACTGGTTGAATAGGGGGAGCAATTCCTCAATAAACTGAGCCTTTCAAACTTCTACGCGTTCCTTGGGATTAGATTACACGACTTTATTCCACCGTCACATGTATTAATAAAGTATAGTCAAACGAGCAACCGCAACAGCCTTTCGCTGCCTGAAGCACATTATACACTAACTACTTTACAGCATATTTTGAATTTATATGATGACAGCACATAGTGGTAGATTAGTATTTACCGATGAATTTCTCCACACATTTTTAAGTTCATAATAACATCAATGCGACAAAACTTTTCCGTAAGGCTGGATTAGATTGGTAGACACTTCGGGACCATTAGACCCGAACGTCATGCAATCCTAACAGGTTTTCGACATATCAAGAACCAATGGTTAATTGGAGACTTTCATAACATTTCTCACCACCTAAACGCAGCATAATAGGAGTGGCGTTTAAGCCATCACCCAAACACTCACTGAAACTCTGGAATACAAGTAGCTTAGATAAAAACTCGGCAATCATAATGCATACGCTATCACAGTAGGGTAAGAAACAGCTACAATTCTAGACAGTAGTTTAGTTAGGTGGTGGGAGAGTTGCCAACCACAAAATCTTTATTCTCCAATTCTACCCTTAACACGTGTAGTAGCAACAATGACGCAGACGTAGGAAATAATGCTGCCAGTTAAATCCAGGGATGACAGTAATGGGATAATATGCAGGTTTGAAAGTTGTGACAGTCTTCACGTGGTTATGAGCAAAAATGTCCTCTAAGATGACTTTCAATCAATCAAGAAAAATTCCGTGCATGAGATGTTAATAAAAAGACGATCACTGCAAAATAACTGCGCTAGTTTACACCGAGCGGTGACATACCATGAGTATCAACAATTTCGCCTTACAATACATCTATTCTATTTTATTTTTCCTTAACGTACTAATCAGTAAAATTGACTCATCTTCACACTTGTTCTCGTTACAGACACACCCAATTACAAACATGAAGCCTAATTTCACCGCCAAAATGTTTAATTAAGCAATATTTATTCTATACAGATAAGAAAGAATAGAGTGACCACCTTAGAAAGTCATGCCCAACGTCAAATTGAAAAATGTCACCCGCCAACAAATGGCCTTGAGTTCATGTATCAAAGATATGACGTAGTAAAAGTGACAGCCTCATACACACAGTCAGTAGGCAGATAAGAGAAACTTTGGTATCCATACGAATCAGGAAGACTGTTTAAATCTTGTTGTACCAAATAAGCCATCATAATAATGCACCAAATGTCTCGTGTTCATTTTTTTCAACCTATTTACACTGGCGAATATTTACAATACCTACAGCCTGTGGATTTGTGAATTTCTACCACGCCTAAGAAAAAGCATCATGGTGGGTGACAGTGTGCTTTATAATGTATTCCTATGTATCAAATGATCATTCCTGAGATTATAAGCACTAACTGTCGTTCCCTAACAGGTGAAATTAACTGTGTGCAGTCCCTTTTTTCCTTATATGTATAACGCTGTGCAGGGATCAATGCTCTTCAGGAATCTTGGCTGCACGATCTAAATGATGATAATCTAGTCTTTCCAAATGGTGTAAACTTATTCAGACAGGATCAGTGTAGCCCTAAAAAGATGTGGAGCGATAACGAGGTGACCTTCATCAATCCTCAGTGTTGTACTTCAGATTCAGTTTGGGTTTTAGATTATCTGGTGGCAAAACTTGCCGCCTCACTGTTATATGTCGACCGAAACATTTGTTTAAATATAACTATAAATACATTTCAAACATTCATACCGCACCTGAATGTAGTGTCTCAGAAATGCCCTCTGCGGCCACCTTTGAAAATTTCTTGTCAGTAGTTACTGATGACCTCAGTTATTGTGACTACAATTTTTTCCATCATAAGGTCATAAAAATATTATCAACTCAAAACTACGAGGAAATTACCGTGTTCCAGTGTTTACAAATTAATTCGGCATATTTATAGCTAAGGAATGAGTCCCACTACTTAATTCTGGCCACTGCATCATATGCATATTGTGCAAAATACATGGAAAGCTTCACAAAAAGGCTTTCCCAAATCTTGCCAATAAAACGCAACGTGGATGTCAGTACCCTGATGAAAAATAGATTCTAAAAAGCATGTTAGAGGATGCAAACTGAGACTTGTTTACTGAAAATGTTCTGGATGACACAATCACAAGCGCAACTTGTTACCTCAAACCCTGCCCTGATGTCTGTTGTCCGAAAGAGCCACTCTTCTTAAGGCTTGGCCGCTACTCCTCTTTCCAGCTCAAAAAGCTTTGACGGAAGTTTATGAGAAATGAAAGACAATGATGGTGTTGAGAGGATGAAAATTTTAATTAAACCAAAATGCAGAGATTAAAAACGATCTATAACCAAAAGTTCCTTTCGTAAAACACCTCATCAAGCTGTTTAAGGAAATCATTGACTGTAAGCTAATATATAATGATCTCTACTTAGTTGATCTTGATACTCTCAATAAGCCCTTCATATGTCGTCCAGCTTATGTTATGACCTTAAACGGATGTATACGACATGAGGGAAGAGTGAAATGCAACTGTTTCTACCCTTCGAAGTCATCAGGAAACAATGTGACAGTAGCTCATCCATGACATGGGCGAATATTGAATCATATCAGCTGCGAAACCACGACTACCTTCTCAAGGTGGCTACCCACAGGAATACCATTGGCGAATGCTTTTCACAACTAAGTATTGCACTCTTTGGAAACAACTACCATCTGGAATTAAATGTTGTGGAAACCTCGATGGGTCAAAACGGAGCTTTAAGACGTTGGTGGCACAGTGGTTAGGACTCTCACCGACCATGCACATAGTCCGGGTTTCGAGCCCTCGCCAACGCACACCTGGTATCTATGGTCGGCCTGCGAAATTTGGACTACCGATACCCACGCTGAAAATTCCATACTTGCACCAAAAATACAGTGTGGAATCAAGCTGTAATCAAAAATAAAATAAAAAATAAATAATTAATGTGTCCACCCCAGCTCGTCCAAAAGACAGAAACTTTTGGTGGAATGGTATATGAAAGCCAGTCCAGTTTTCAGTGTAGTCAGTTACACATAACTCGACTCTACTACCTACGCGGCGAACGTTTAAATAATTTGCTGATTTTCTGTACGCTATAATCTTCAATGAGTTGCGTCAGTGTAGCAATTCTAGAAACAATTATATTAGCAACCACACCTTTCAATATCTTATATATATAATACACTGCTATCTTCTCTGTCGAAATGCCTTTACTCAGTCAGTAACTACTTTTTGGGTGAGGATAAACGCTACAGCGTTTTAAATCTACCTCGCTCCTGGTTTCCTCGTCTTTCACTGGCTAGAACAGTAGCAGTCAGTCGGCTCTTTGATTTGTCATAGGTAGGTGCTGTCGTGTACGATTTTGTTTAGATGTGTTTTGCATGGCTTCCAATCAACCGTGATGAATATAATTGTAACATATGACTATTGTAACGTTGTTTCACCGTTTTTATATAGACACGATGCTCTTTTTGATGTAAGCTCTCTTCAAATTCGTCAAACATTATGGTGGTTATCAATGACTACGACCCCGTAGGTCTCCACGCATTTCTTCAGTTGTGGTTATACGTGTAACATTTCTTCCTTTACTACTGTTGTTTAACATTCCTTGTTCGTTATGAATTGACTGTGAAAAGCAGTGGCAATAATGTGCTTAGTTAACAAAGCCAATTTTGTAAGTTCATCGCAGGTAATCGGCGCTAGGGAAAGCAGGAAAGATGTTGGAAACTGACAACTCAAACAATTGCTAGCATTATTGATCTTTTTCACAAACTGCGTTCACATCCATTGGAAAAATTGGCGAATGTGAGATACTGAATTGTAGTGAGACAAGTTCATGGGACTTTTATCTACTGTGTATGTTTCTCTCTAATATTTTTGTCACGCAAACCACTAACAGGGTATTGTCAGATGTATTCTCATGGTACGACTCGATGGTACGACTGGTGACAGTTAATGATATTATACATGCATAATTTTCATGATATTTTCCGCGCCAATAATGTCCTCCACATGTCAAAAGAAGTGTAAACTATGGTAAATGAACTTATTGGATACTTAAGTCATACATGACGATGCGTCTTAATCATGTAAATGCGAATTTAATCTGTATCGCTCGTAGGAATGTCCAGTCATATTGAGGTCTCTCAGTTAAATCCAATGGGAATCTGATATATTCTCATTCGGATGAAGACATCCAACATATACTAATAGGTGTCTTACGACTTATCACCAGATGCATTTGCATAACCAGCTGTGGGAATTGATTCTGCATACAACACCAAGGGAAGGGAAGTTCACTTGTAACCACGCAGATATCCTTTGTTTCAGTCTGTCATGCGGCATAACTTTGGATGTGGACATACAGTTCTGGTTGCTCCACTTGTGGAAGAATTTAAACGTGACATTATTTGGATACAGGACAGCTTCCGCGAAATAATGGGAGATATTTTCAAACAAAAACCTTCGTTTTGGACTGAGCTCAGCCTATATATGTAAATAAACCTGTTAGTTTTGCCGTGAATTAAAACTTTTCACCTAATATTCTTGAGTTCTATTTGATATGCTCGGGGTGAGAGTACAGCATACTGGACCGGCACTTCCTAGAATATGAACTCGTCACTATGCGCGAGCATATTTCTATACGAATACTATCGATCAGTATGAGTGGTGATTATAAGCACTTTAGTAAGGCCTAGACATCTGCCTAAAGTTACATGATCACGTCTCCTAGCCATGGCTAAATCTGTAATAATAATAATATATTCTCATTTTGTACATGAGGGTCGCCAGTTTACAGGCATCATCAATATGATAAATTACATATACGATTAGCAATCATACTTAATAATAATGTTTCAATAAAATACATATTTTTTCCTACATGTTTAGGACACACCAAATGTACAGGCATGGATAAGCATTACTTAAATTTCATAAATTTGGTTTATGGTTAAATTACATGGTTGCTGACGTTTCTGTCTTTGGTTTGTGGGAACAATATGATAACCAGTCATTCAATGGAGCACATCATGAAATATAGAAATATTGTCTTCGCATTAACAAAAAGCCCAAGTATGTTTTGGATGGATTACAAATACTTGGGAAAAAATAAAGCTTGAAGTAATTCCCCGATAAAACTTAGGTGTATACAAAACCGAAACTTTTTCTTGATTTATATCCAAATTTGGTAATAATTAAAATAAGTGATACACTTGTATAGTTTTGTCAGCATTTTCATCGTAATATCACGAGTGAATTGTACTCAATGTAGAATAATATTAATGATAGTATATATTCTCCTATACATGGGTATCTCCAAGAAAAGAAAGCTATTTTTAAAGATACGATCAGTTATGTTATAAGCTACAATCGTGACGTTTTATTACAAATTGATACTTTTCCATTGGTATAAGAGTATATTCCACAAATGTAATCCAGGTTGCGTCGTGGAGAAAGTTAATTCGTTATTAACCAGGCAACTGAAAGATACGGGACCAATAATGTTTGCAGATCATTTGTCATTGTAAATGGTCAAATATCCACATTATTCATTCTCATTCAAAAAGTCAAATGGAAGCTGAAATGGTGAGAGAAAAAAGAAGACAAACAACAGCAACGCAAAAGAAAGCAACGGGAGTCCTTAAGGAGTGATTAATAAATATATACATATATATTCTGTTTAGTAACTGTGGTTATTTTTGTTCACAAACTAACTAGTCCCGTTATGCTAACTTTTATATTAGGTGTGAACTAATATTACTGTCCTGTGTAGAAATGTTTATCATCTAGTTCCAATAATATTAAAATTTATAATTGTAGTTTGTTGTAACTACACGTTTAAAGAACTTAAAATATCTATGTAGGGTGAAAAAGAAGGTGTAAGAGTCAGGCGCAAAAGTGCATTGTCATCTTTGAGCAGTCTGGTGACTGAGGAGATGAACACTGGAAGTGTGTTTGCATCGCGCACATTAGCTGGTAGTCTATTCCAAATGACTGAAAACTTATTTAAGAAGAAGTTGTACCGCACGTAAGTCTGACAGTGCTCTATAGCAGCTAGGTTG